AGCTTTTTAGAATTAAAACCAATAACACGAACTGCTCCATGAATACCAAACATTTGCCATGACAGTACTGCAAAAATTTACTGTTTGGGTTGACAATGTAAGAAGCAATGAAACCAAGGGTAAAGTGTTCTCTCAAAGATCATATAAGACTTCATTTATGTAATAAAATTTCTAAATACCATTAGCAAGAAAGCAAATTTGTAATTTGTAATTCTTTCTAGTAAATCGAGTTTAGGAAAATCCTACATCCATGACAGATACAACTTCTATAGATATAAGATAGAAACATGTCATCAATCTAATAGGGAGAAATATAATAGCCAGAATATTTTCCAACAAGTGATGTGGACACCACAATGAATTTTAAGAAGATTACCCAGAACTGCAAGTATCCTCCATTGAACAAAAAGTCCGAGCAGATAAGCCAGCATTATCCCAATGGTTACAGAGAGCTACAGAACAAGGATTAAAGTTTAAATCATCTGATTACAGATATATGTTAGTAACTACTAACACAAACTCATGGTAAAAATAAGCTACTAAACAAGACCAACCTGATTGATTGAACCCAAAGCACCTCTTAAGTTTTGAGGTGCTATCTCAGCTATATATACAGGCACCTAGCAATGATCAACCAAGTCAGTACTCTCACAGTTACTCACCCCACATAATTCCAACATAGAAAGACATCACTGAAACAACTCAACGCTACCGTGTACGAGATTATTCCCACGCCAAATCCTTCCAACAGTCTTCCCATGTAGAGAAAAGAAGAATCCTACAAAAAGAATTAAAGTTGATGTAAGACAGCATATTCCTGACTGCATTCTGTTCATGTCTAGATTCCTATAAACCGGTACAGTCATGAAAACTCACTTTGGCAAATGATATAGCAAGCCAGCCGATAACATTAGGAATGGCAGCAATCATTAAAGACTGCAATTAATAAAACCCAGTCTTAGAATTAAACAAAAGAACGTTAGTCAAAGATGCTACGCTTAATAAGGAATAGAATTAGTGATCAAATCCTACCCCTTTGCGACCAATATACTCAGCAATCTGACCGCTGGCTATAGCTCCTACCATGGCACCCACATTCGATAAAGAACCAAAAAGAGAATACTGGCCCAGATGATAATAGTTAGAAACTAAAACCAATCAAACAAACAAACCCAGTATTCAAATACACATTATAAAAATAAAAAATAAAAAAAAACTGAGATTCAAACCTCTGACACTGTGAGTCCAAGATCCTTGATGATTGCTGCTTGGGTCGGAGAAGAATATCCAGACTGCAGGAACGAAAAATGTGATTCGTAAACAGATATGAATAGAGGAAAAGTATAATCAAGCTCAATCTTCTCATTTCTTGAGCTCTCTGCAATAAAAAAGCTCAACTTGTCCAAAACTCAATCAGCTCAGGCTCTCTAATTGCGAAAAAAACAATTTGAAGAAGAAGAAGAAGAGCGAGCTATGCTTACGGTGAAGCCGAATTGGATAGGACCCAAAGCGACAATCAAAACACAAGCCACCACAGAAATGGAGCTATCTCGAATGACCTGGGACGAGCCCATCATACTGGATTGCCTGGAACCCATGCGGTACCAGCTCCCAGTGTGCAGGAAAGGCTTCCTGAGATCTCTTCCCTCTTCATTGTCGTCCCTGAAACTCATTGTGGCCTCTGCGATCAGAGAAACAGAGAAACAGACAAAGTTCACTGCGTGCAAAACGACCCACGGAGAAGAGAAGCCGGAATATAAATGGAGCCTATAGGCTTACGCTATGATTATTGTCTCCAATCGTCCGTTTATCGTGTCCTGCACTGTTGGCCTATAAGTCCAGCTCCGCACCTTGCCGTTACCAACAGATTCGTGCTGTGACTGTGCAACCGAGCTCATCTTCTGCCACGTCGGCAACACATATTATAATTCGTGTTTATAGTTTATGCGCGTCGTCTGTTATCTTATATTTATATTGATTGTCTTTTTTTTACTTTTAATATTTTTTTTTGTTTAAATTTTAATTATTAATTTAATTTACAGAGAGAATGACTCGAATTTGAATGTAAGGGAACATATCTATTGTTCTGACCAACTGACCTAACTTAAATATATCTTTTTAATTGTTTTAAGTATGCATCAATTATATAGTCTTATGCTATTTAAGAAGGATTATGATTTTTAAGTATAAAGATTAGGTTTTTATATGCTAATTAAATGAATATGTTGTAAGTTACTTGTTGTGTGTGGTTGTAGGTAGGCTCGTGGGTCTCGTTAGCCACTATCACCATCCGTCCTCTGAGTTTGGACAACTTGTACATGGTGATGGTGGTAGAATGATAACAAATGATAAGTAGTACCGTCGTCCTCTTTCAAAAAAAACTTACCTATAATGAGAATAACTATTTAGGCTCTTGCTTTCAGTTCTTCTTCAATAATTATTTAGGCTCTTGTTTGTACCATTTGCTTTATTGACCACCTACCTACCAATTAGTCCAATTCAATCAAAACGGAACAAAACAAAACCCACGTGATTTTGCACGGTTTTAGATTATCTACTAATTTCAACCTAATTGTTGTTTGTTTTTATCAGAAATCTCAACCTAATTCATTCACACATCCAACTTTTAACTTATTAACAAATAATACATCTACTATAATAAGATACCTGCCATCCCTTAATAAAAAAAGAAAAAAACAAAGCAGTTGTATAGATCTCATCAGTCTACCTAACAGTCCTTAAATCAGTTTTAGACGCAAACACCATTTGTTCAGAATCGCAATCACAAGTCTTGTTGAAAACTTTGAACTATGTCTCGTTGTCCACCGAGATCTATCAGTCGGTATCTTTTCTTTCTTTTTTCTTTTTTTATGAATAAAATGTATAATGATGGGTTTTTCACATCTTAGGATTCAGTGCTATTAGTAGCGTAATCATTCATTATATGTTGCAATTTATTTATTTAGTTGGGCTTCCAATATGGAACTTAAAACCATTAAAAAGACAAATTTGGGTTAGGCGATTTGGTGTAAGCATGATGAATTGAACCCATCTTGGGTTGGGTAAGCGATGATCTAACAATTGGGAGAGGCCCAGACCGATACATATTTCTGATAGAAATACAAGTTCAAATTCATCAGGCAAACTTTGGGTTTATATTGGGCTTTACAAGGCCCAATCAAAAACTCTACTGCGTCATGTTTTGTTCTGCTATAACGGGCCTCAGCCCAAAAAAAAATAGAAGAAGAAGAAGAAGAAGAAAATAATAATTAATGTTGTACTGCAACTGGAGGAAGAACACAAGGATGAGTCACGCGCTAAAATGGAGCGTGAAGCAGAAAAATCCCTAAGTGGATTTCATTTATTTGTTTTTTATTCCATGAGAGGAGGATGATGAACTTTTTGGTTATCGGAGGAGGAGAAAACGGAAGCCACCTGTTACTTTATTAAAGGACTCTCGCACTCGCAGTGAGAGAGAGAGAGAGAGAGAGAGAGAAAAATAAAATTTATTTATAAAAAAAAACATACTAGGGATATTGAAATTAAGAATGGAGAGTGTCAATAAAACTTTTGTTTCCCAGTCAATTTCGTAAAGGAACTTCAAACTACAGTCCCTTCTTCTCTCCTTCTGCACACAAACACTCCCAATTTCCGATGGCTTCAATTCAATACTTCTCGTAAACCACCTCCGCCACCGCCACCGTCACCGCCACCGGCCATCCCCACAACCACCCATATTTACACTCAAGCCACCCATTGAATTTGAAATTGATACACACTCCTCCACTCCACATATGGGTGAGCAAACCCAGGTCCAAACCCAAACCCAAACCCAGCCCCAGACTCCGACTCCGACCCAACCGCCTCACCATGACTCCATCGACGACACCACAATCGCCGAAGTGAGCCCCACACCCACCCAACTCACCAATGCTCCCTCCCAAACCTCATCGCCCCCTTCCAAAATTCCCTTCCGCCCCCGAAAGATCCGCAAGTTATCGCCCGACACCTCCGACCCCAATTCCTCCCAACAAATCGTCGCCTTACCCGACAACCCCAAACCCCTTCCCGCCGCCGCCAAGTCCGCCAAGTCCAAGGCCGTCCAGCAACGCGCCCTTTCGGCCCCGAAAATCGCAGCGCGGCCGCTTTCCTGCGAAGGTGAGGTCGAGGCGGCAATCCGCCATCTCCGAAACGCCGATCCGCTCTTGGCTCCGTTGATCGACCTCCACCAGCGGCCGACCTTTGACACCTTCCAGACCCCCTTCCTTGCCCTAACCCGTAGCATTCTCTACCAGCAACTCGCATACAAGGCCGGCAATTCGATCTACACGCGCTTCGTCAGCCTGTGCGGCGGAGAGGCCTGTGTCGTCCCCGAGACGGTCCTCGCCCAAACGCCTCAGCAGCTCCGCCAAATCGGGGTTTCGGGCCGAAAAGCCAGCTACCTCCACGACTTGGCCAGAAAGTACCAGAACGGGATTCTATCGGACGCGGCGATTGTAAATATGGACGACAAGTCGCTGTTCACAATGCTGACGATGGTCAATGGGATCGGCTCTTGGTCTGTGCACATGTTCATGATTTTCTCGCTTCACAGGCCCGACGTGCTTCCGATCAACGACCTCAGCATGCGCAAAGGCGTTCAGCTTCTCTACAATCTTGACGAGTTGCCTCGGCCGTCTCAGATGGAGCATTTGTGTGAGAAGTGGCGGCCGTACCGGTCCGTCGCGGCTTGTTATATGTGGAGATTTAGTGAATCCAAGGGAGCTCCTTCAAGTGCGGCGGCCGTGGCGGCTGGTGCGACTCTACCGCCACAGCAGCAGCAGGAGGAGCAGCAACAACAGCATCCGCAGCACCCTCAGCAACAGCAGCTTATGGATTCACTCAGCAGTCTTATTAATATTGGGTATAAATTTCAATCCTTTTCAATTTAATTCAATTATTGGTTTATGGGCAATTCCATTGAGTATCCGTTTGTAGATTAATTGCAAATGCCGCTACAAGATGATAGCTTTGTGAATATTTATTTTGTTTATGTGAATTTTGGTTTTGCTAGATTAGAAGCAGTCTATCTGTGCCTGAATGTTTAAACCCTTGTAGTTTGCTTAGTTCCGTTCTTTTTTTGGTCGTTTGTATATACACTCTTGTTTAGTGTTTAGAATGGCATTTCAAATGCCCTCTGACTGTTATTCTTCTTATTGAAAGCTGGGTTTGTTTGCTTGAGATGCTGTTCTTACTGAAATTGATATCCCCTTTGTTGACATTTGTGCTTCCTTTCTCTGACGTGTGTTGTCCTGTGTGGAAGGATGCTCTGTGCATGTTTTTTCCTTAACGTGTTTCTATACTTGCATGTTATTCTTTCTAACTTTGTGCTGAATCACAGAGTTAAAGGAAAATTTCTTCCATTGAAATAGAAGATAAACATGCCCTGTTACATCATGATAAATATAAGAAGAAACTAAACACTCTTAAACCTTTTCCTATGAAGGCCCCAAACCTTTTCCTCCACCATTAGTCTCTTAATATGTTGTCTCTTCTTCTTCATCTTAGGACACCCAAAGAGCATACATAGGTTGTTTCCCAATCTGTCCATGTCTGCTTAGTTGCTCAGTATTCTTCCCAAGCTATGTAATTATGAAATATGTTTGTAATTTCCAATCAGAGCTTTAGTCATCCAAAGCAGTAAGTGTATAGGAGTAGTAGGCTAGGTGGTGTTCCATGACACTTCCACAGCTGACTCACTTAAGTGCTACCAGGTAAAGCCATCACTACTGCCAGCAGATCTTTGTAATTTTTCTCTGCTTTTGATGTTTTTATGCTTCTGACTAAGATAAAGATATGGTATAGTTGTCCAGCTCTCCAGTTTTCTTTTTTACTATTGGTTTGTTTCTGAAGAAATTTTTGAGCCCCAAATAGTTTTTTGTGTTGGTATAATCTCCTTACCATTAAAGGCCACAAGGTGAACACGAAAGTTGCTCTAGCATAGGTTTAGGTAATGGTGAGGGAGCTGGATGATACCAGCCTCCAGGCACAATAGGAAACATTATGTTTACCATTGGGGGAGAGTGTGGACCACCTCCTCCTTCATTGCCCTTTCTCTCTAAAGTTGTGGGAGACATTACTGAAGGAACTTAACACTGTGTGGGTAATACCGAAAGGTTGTTTTGAACTTTTTTCCATCAAATTTGATGATTTTGGAAGGGGAAAGAAAGCTAAAATCCTTTGGGGCAGTCTGATGCAGGCAGTGATTTGGAACCTTTGGCTGGAACGTAACAGGAGAATCTTCGAGGATTATAAGGGAGTGGGAGTGATAGAGTTATGGGATAGAGTGAAGTTTTGGGCTGCCCTTTGGGCATCAACTTCCCTTGCTTTTAAGGATATATCCTATCCTACAATTGTGCGCAATCTGCTGACTGTAGTATCTTAAGGGGTTTTCTTTTGATTGGCTGTTTTGTTTTCTGTGTTGAGTGGACTCGTGTTTGTTTCACTGGCTAGTGCTTCTTTCTTTTTGTCTGTGTTCTAAATGTCCTCCTTTTTTATCCTTTCAAATTTTGAATAAAAAAAAAAAAAAAAAAAAAAAAAAAAAAAAAATACCATTTGATTGTTGTTGGGTCTTGTTTTATTCAAATTTAAGTCTAAGCAAAAATGTTTTTGTTTATCCCTTTATCTGGTCAGCGGGTAGTGGTGGTAGATTTTTCTTGAATCAATATTACATAATACACCATATATTTGCAGTTTTTCACTGGGTATGAAGAGATGAGCTTTTTTGTTGCTTACTGGATATTTGATTGTACTGACCATCAATTTCTGTCATTGTTGGAGTTATGGAATATGTTATTTTGAGTATGAGCTTTGGATTAGTTTAGTAGTAGATCCGGGTGAGAACTAAATAATTAATTTGTGGTCTTATTTCAGCAAATCTTGGGAGCTCATATATCATAAATTAATAGTATTTAACTTTTTAATAAAATAAATGTTATATGTAAGAGTTTAATGGTTTTGGCTTTTTATGGAAGGAATGGTGCCTGCATTCATGGTGAACTATCCTTTTCCATGTCATGTGATACAGGGCCTGTACCTGGGGACCTTGATCGGGAATGGAATTGAGAAGTTAGTCCTTCAGTCATGTTTATTCGACTTAGCTTGAGCAAGTTCAAGAATGGTTCATGTGTGGAAATCTTGCTGCTAAAAGCTCTGGCATGCAAGCTTTCAAGGATGAGACTGTATTGAACCCTATTCAGTAATTATTATGCTTTGGGATTAAATAAACACTGTCTATGCAATGCTCTAGTTTTATTGTCTTCAATTTAGAAAACATCAATAAGTTGGCGACGAGATTTCTTATAGGACTTGAGAGAATGCAATGCTTCAATGCCTTTACCCGTAGATTGAGTAACCGTAGAGTAGAGGGAAGCCCTTCACCGTCGGATGTGGTTAGCACTCTTGGTGAGTGTGATTCTAATATTTGAAACCATATTTAGCTGATTTAGATTGCCCTAGTACCAGACATTATGTACAATTAAATTTCAAATCATAAGCTTAAAGGGGGTTTTGCAGGCTGCTTCTTTGTTTCATATAATCTTCAGTGAGGAGTCTTTTTGGTTTCAGGGTTCTCACCTTGCCAGTTTTAAAATTGGAGGATGATCTCAATGAGCTTTTCTCGATTTTTGTTGATATCTTTGGTTATTTTCCTTAAACTGCCACTGTGCCCTACTGTCAGCACTCAGCATCAGGGACCTAATCGCTAAATCAGCCTAGTTTAAATGGTGATGAAATCCCGGACCAGATATGGGAAGTTTATTTGGGCCACCCTTCTCAGAAAAAGGTTCTTGTTGTAAGGGTTGCTGGGCTTACACTGCGATTTTTTTTATAATTTCTACTCAGCATCTCCCATAATCCCAATTTTTTTTTTTTTATAAAAAAAAAAAAAACCCCAAATATCCGTGTACCTTCGTCTCTACTCTCTTTTTCTTTTTTTCGAATGTGAAGATCCTCGAGGGGGTTTTTTTATCTGCAGATAACGTGGAAGTACTTTCTGTATTTACGTTGGAATTTTAGAAGCTGAGGTACATTGGAGCAAGAAGAGGCCGTCCGTCGAGAGTATTACTGTAAGGGAAAAACACACATGTATCATATTGTGGTGTTATTAGATTAGCGATTGATCCGCATGTAAAGTATAAAGTGGAAGCTATTGTACATTACGTGAAAATTTGAGGCATATTTGCCAAATTTCATTCAATATTACTTCCGAGTATCAGCCTGCTATAATCATCACAGCAAATGACAAATCTAGCCTTTTCAATTTTATTTGTCAACAATAAATGATTTCCTCGTCTTTATGACATGATCAATGGATAAAGCCAGAATCTTTGCAATCATCGGCAACCAACCAGCAGTGTCTTGTAGCCGCAACATATATATATATATATATATATATATATATTTATATATATGGGAAACAAAATATCTGTCACTCTCATGCATGCATGGTTTTTTTTGCTTTTTTCTTTCTAATTATTTATGTCGTTAGGAATTTATTATATCATGGATCAAGCCAGGCATCAAAACGTTAATCCAAATGTATATTCCTCCTCCGATGGGATATTCATTTAGGCCGGCAGATTATATGCTTGAAGTAAAGTTAATTAATTCAGAAACCACAGTTCACAGACAGCAGCATGAAATACAAAACATGAACTTCCACATCAACTATGGGATCTGCGAGCCTTTTCTTATTACAGTTGTAGCTCCAGAATGTGGGATATCCTAACGAATATCTCTTATTCTCGATTTAATTTCGTCGTTTTATGCACCACGCCCAACATCAAATGTCTTATCTCTAAATCATTATACCAACTTTGTCAACTATAAAATGGTCTCAAAATGCAGGCACTTGGTAAGACAACACAAACCCAAAACCGGAAACACACCACCATGATGAACTACGAGAACTATGATCCTTCCTATCCCGACCAGCCTGTGGTGGACCTCTACCTACAAGTTTGGGCTAATCTCCCGGCCTTCCGATCCAAGCCAGCCTTCGTTTGGGTCGAAGACTGCTCCGCCATTGATGCTAAGTCAACCCTCACGTATGCTCAGCTCAATGACTCGGTGCAGTGCATTGCTTCTCAATTGCTCATCCCACTTCAAAGAGGTGACACTGTCGTCATCCTCTGCTCACCGGGGCTCGAACTAGTCGAGACCATTTTCGGGTGCCAAAGGGCTGGCCTTTTGAGCGTGCCCATTTCCCCACCTGACCCTTCTTTCACTAATCAAAACTTCCACCACCTTATAAGAGCCCTCTCCCAAACAAAGCCTAAAGCTGCCATAGCTCACCCCACTTACATCACAAGCATTAACCACTACATATCCTCCTCATCCTCCAACAAAAAGCTTGTTCATATGTTGCAAAGTCTCCACTGGATTTCCACTGTTGACATCAAAGCTAAAGATAGAAAGTTACAACAATCCCAATTGGGTCCTAAATTTTCACCATACAAAGGCTGCAGAGCAGAGGATGTGTATCTGGTTCAGTACACTTCAGGAGCAACTGGGATCCCAAAGCCAGTGCTTGTCACAGCAGGTTCAGCTGCTCACAATGTTAGGACAGCCAGGAAGGCCTACGATCTTCACCCGAATAGCGTGATTGTTTCGTGGTTGCCTCAGTACCATGATTGTGGCCTCATGTTTCTGCTGTTAACAATTGTGTCTGGTGCAACAAGCGTCTTGACATCACCAACTGCGTTTGTTAACAGGCCAAGGCTGTGGCTCGAGCTAATAACACAGTTCAGAGCTACCTGCACTCCTGTTCCATCGTTCGCGCTACCGCTAGTTGTCAAGCGAGGTGGGATTGACAAAGGCACCTCGCCTATACATCTATGGAGTTTACAGAATCTCCTTATTATAAACGAGCCGATTTACAGGGACGCGGTTGAGCAATTTGTAAATGTGTTTAGGACTTTTGGGTTGAACCCATCGTCCATTTCTCCTTCTTATGGCTTGGCAGAGAACTGCACGTTTGTTTCAACAGCTTGGAGAGCATGCAGCAATGACGTTCCCAACATGCCATCATACAACAAGCTCTTGCCAAGTGCAAGGCTCGGCGAAAACGACGACGAACTGGTGGACATGGATATCATTGTCGTGAACGAAGAGACGCATGAAGCAGTTGAGGATGGGATTGAAGGAGAGATTTGGGTTTCGTCTCCCAGCAATGCCTCTGGTTACTTAGCCCACCCTACAATGACTCGTGAGGTGTATTACGCAAGGCTTAAGAACAAGGTGAGTCGGTGCTTTTTACGGACAGGTGATAGGGGTGTTGTGAAAGGAGACGAAAGGTATCTTTTTGTGATGGGTCGATGTGCGGACGTGATCAAACGTAAAAACCATGAAGAAATCCATCCACATTATATAGAAACAGCTGCTCATAATAGCAGTCCGGGGTTTCTGAGAGCGGGGTGTTCGGCTGCGTTTGAGATTTCAAACACAGTTGTGGTGGTTGTGGAGATGCAGAGGAGTGAGAAAGAGATTGGGGTTTTGAGGAAGATATGTGAAGGAGTGAGAAAAGGTGTGGCTGAGGAGGAGAGAGTTGAAGTTGGGATGGTGGTTCTGGTTAGAAGTGGGAGTGTGCCTAAAACTACCTCGGGTAAAATACAAAGATGGGCAGCTAAAGACAAGCTCATTGGAGGCAAAATGAGCGTTTTGATGGAGATGCGGTTTGGTGATTATGGCGACTCTTTTTCAAGTTTTGGGACAATAATTGGTGAAAGTGAGGGGAAAGTTGATTACGGGGGAGGAAGAGGAGGGAAGACAAAAGTGGTGGTAGGTGAGGAGAGAGAGGACATCTTTCTCTCATTCTCATCAAACGGTCGACTTCGTCCCTCGTTGCTCTCTTTTTTGTGAGAAAGTGAAAGCCATTTGCATCCGAATGATAAAGTTTGATGAACCAACTAGCTCTTGATTTAAACTTAACGTTTGAAGAGATTCAAAGTTTGATGAACCAACTAAGGGGTTGATGATGAGTTTGAATAAATTCAAAGTAGTATATATATAATTACAACAATTGTAATGTATTTATCTTGTATAATTATATATACACCATGTCAATATGCTACTTAAGTGTCATAAATAAATTTCTCTTTCCAAATGAGAGTAAAAGGTCAGTAATCCTAATATTAGCAGTGCGTCTGTAACTCAAATGGTTAGTAAAATTTACTCATAAATTTGAGATTTTGTGTTTTTCTTATATCTAAAACATTCTCATATTTTCTCATATATATATATATATATATATATCACTTGGAATCTTGAGTGTGATGTGAATAAGGAAGCCTTTTAAAAAAAATACATCATTATCAAATGGAAAGGCTATAGCCTATAACATGGAGTTTAGAGTGAGGATCTTATTTGAGGGGTTCAATCCGACCGTTAACAAATGTGAAGAAATCAAAGGACTTAAATATTTTAAATGGTTTGATAGTGGGATTGAACTCCTCATGTCCTGTTTGGTGGGTTGAACTAGATGAGATATCTCCAATTAAAATGAACATGAATTCTAACCATTTTTTGGTGAGTTTAAATGTGTCTTATACTAGATATGATCCTTGGATTCAAATCCCAAATAATTAGGGCTTCGAAATCCGACCCCAGACGTGGGTTAAGAATGAAGGCTATGTCGTCACTTTCAGCCACCTTCCCATTCCATCCCATCTGGTTTGACTTTGACCTGATATTTATTTATTTATTTTCCCTGTTTTTAAAATCTTCATATGAGTTTGATTTTGGGTTTGATGTTGTTTGATGTTATGAGTTCTCTTCTCCATTTGATTTTGTGAGTTTATGAGTTCTCTTCTCACTGAGAGAGGACGCTACAATTTTGCAACAATGGTGGCTCTTTTTATTATTGTTTGTTGTTTGGTGCAAAAATAAACGAGACTGGATTCAAAATCTAGTCAGTTCAAGCCAACTCAACTCAATACTTCAAAGCCCATCTTATTCAGTTCAAGCCAACCCACCAAACGAGACCTCATTGGGCTTAGTTGATGTTATATCTCCCACGTTGATGGGAATGGTTATATATCAAAAGGAGTGGGCCACATTTACCATTTTTAAATATCGCGGGCTACAGTTGTAGGACCCCTACCCTACCCATTCAGTGTCAAAACTACGAGGCCCAAAAACGTTGTCGTTTGTACGCTCGTATTGCGCAACTCCCATTTGAACTTGAAGACGTACCTGACCTGTAATGTAACCTACATATATTTATTATAAATTTATAAATAAATCCATAGACATGTATTTATAAAAAAACTCAAATACTATTTAAACATAGAAATACACCCAAAATCAATAATAGTATATTTTTTGGGTGTGTTTATAAATGGGTTTTGAGTGTGTAATGATGGATTTTAGGTGTATTTATAAAGTGTTTTGAGTGTTTAGTTTTTTTTATAATTTCAACCCCATTTTCGATGTTTTAGTGAAACTCCCCATATTTATTCTCCCAATTCTCGTTTCTAACCCAACCGGAACCACCAAATAAATTGATGGAGTTATATATTCACGGACTCTCATGCTTGCACCTTGCAAGTAAGCTATTATTAGGGTTTTTTTTTCATGTCCTTTTTTTGTTGGTATTTAAATAATCACAATTCTGACATGCCTAGCATAATTGGATAAGCTTCTCTTCTCTGAAAAAAAAAACATTGACTTCTGGTTCTGGACACCTGGAGCTAACCCACTGATAAAAGAGTGAGACAAAAAAAAAACTCTTAGAATTAAGATAGTCATGCAAATGTTTCAAAAATGTTGAATTTCGGAAATAAATGCGACACACACATATAGCACATTATTTTTGGGGGGATTGAATTAATATAGTTCTGAAAATTTAAAATGCCATGTGCTAGAATGTTATTGGCTATATGAAGTTATTCATTTATTCCGGAGCAGGTGCATACATGCAGGATAAATTTTATTGAAGAGTAAGTTATTACCGTTTTTATTATTAATTACTTGTTACTTACCCTCCTTTATAACTGTACGTTTGGGTAAAAATGAAATGAAAATAAGCAGAAATTGGTTGAAGGTGGAATATGATTGGTGGAAAGAAGCTGTTGACTGTACAAAGAAAGTGATGAAGAAGAAGAGTGTTTAGAGGCAAGGCAAGAGAGAGAAAGAAAGGCCATCGATTGCATGACACAGAAAGGTACCAAGCAAGCAAAGACTCTTTGATTTGGTTGGGGCAAGCAAGCAAAGCAAGCAAGCAAGCGTGATTTGTCTCAGAGGGTGTGCAGAACCCGCACGTTAGCCCTTTCCTTTCCTTTCGTTTCTTTTCCCTCTGATGCAGCAGCAGCATCAGCACAGCAGCATCATATATATGAAATTAAATCAATGAATTAGATGAGATGAGAGACACAGACAGAAGAAATAAAAAAGTAAAAAAAAAAGAAGCAACACGACAAGGCCACTACTGTGGACCATCAACTTTTCACTTTTACCCATCTTTGTTTAGTCATTTTTGCATGGATTCGAATTAAGAATAGTAAACTTAAATTACCCTTAATTAATTAATTAATTAAATTGCGTGAATCTCCTCACTTAGAGATTAGGGGTACGTAAGTTTAGTTTGTTGGTATATGCGTAGGATTAAGGAAGCAAAAGCGCTATAGCTAGCTAGCTACGTCGCATCAAAGGGGTAGCAGTACTGAAAATGGGGTATGTATGTATGTGTTGGGTGGTTTATGGGGAGAAGGGTGTTGAGATAAGAAATGGAAAGGGGCAATAATGAAGGGTGAGGGGGATGGGACCCACTTGGCAGGGCGTGGGAGAGGTCTGAACATGACGTTGTCGGTTGTTTTGTAATCTGCAAACTTGCAAATGCATAGAAAAGCAGAGAGAGAGAGACTTATAGTGTGTGTGCAGTGTAGTGTACTACGAACCCCCCCCCCTCCTCCTAATTAATCTCTCTCTCTCTCTCTCTCTCTCTCTCTCTCTCTTTGCACTACTTACTTACTTGGTTGGACTCTTATCCTTCCCGCTGGCCTCACCACAAGCAACCAACCTGTCTCTTGTTGGAAGCACAGAAGCACAGAGGCACAGAAAGCACCAATATCCCAAAGGACCCAACCCAACCCATTTCTCTCTCTCTCTCTCTCTCTCTCTCTGCTTATTATGCTTTTGATTTTACCTGTCTGGAGGCCATTAGAGACGTTCAGGCAGTGATGTTTAAGGTGCTCTTTCAGCTACTTAAGTCTTTCTCTCTCTGTCTCTTTCTTACAACTGTGAGTTAATTGGTTTCATTGTAGTTTTAATCTCTCCTTTGTTTTGTATTTTGAGACTCATATGCAATTTCCTCTCTCTCTCTCTCTCTCTCTCTCTCTCTCTCTCTCTCTCTCTCATAGCTTGGGTTTTTAACAGCAACTGTTGAAGATTACGACATAGGGTTTTGGTGGGATTAGCACCCTAATATATGTATATGCTCGAATCAGATATTTGAAACTGGTTGGGGACAATACTAGGAATACGATATTAAAAGTTTAGCTCTACCTTCTTTTGTCATCTATATTATTTAAACATTTTCTTTCCATTTTTTTTGGGAAATTAATTAGAGGAGAGCTTAGCTAGAGAGAAGCCTCAGAACCCCAAGAAAGTACAAGACTGGGTTGAGATCAATGAGATGCTTTTTGCCAGCTTTCCATATTAAATAACATTTTTGTAGGCATCAGTTATGGATTTTAGAGCACAACCCCAAGATAACGAAATGAGGACGTCAGGCTCTTTGAGCTACGCTTCTTCTGCTCATCATTTAAGTACCAAAGAATCATCACCCGCAGCAGCAGCAGCAGCAGCAGCAGCAGATCATCAAAAGAGAAGGGTTGGGATTCACAATGGCAACAACACTTACGCTACCAGCCCCCATCAAACCCTAGACCACCACATTCAACACCCACACCCACCTTTGCAACCCCTCATCCGAGACCCAGATCCAGATCGAGCCCTAGCCGGAACCCCAGTTCCGCCAACTGTACTTGCCAGTGGTGGGCCCAAGTCGACTTCAAAGATCATCCGCTACAGAGAGTGCCTCAAGAACCATGCGGCCAACATAGGCGGCAATGTCTTTGATGGGTGCGGCGAGTTCATGCCGAGCGGTGAGGAAGGAACACTGGAAGCTCTGAAATGCGCCGCATGTGATTGCCACCGCAACTTCCACCGAAAGGAGGTGGACGGGGAAACGACGGCGTTCAGCCCCGGGTCCAGACGCTCAAGCATAATGCTGAGCCCTCTCCAACTCCCCCCGCCACTGCCGTCTCCTTCGTCGGCTCTCCACCATCACCACCACCACCATCAGAAATTCTCAATGGCTCCGATTATCCAGCCGATGAATGTGGCGTTCGGGAGCGGTGGAGGAGGGACGGAGTCTTCGAGCGAGGATCTGAACGTGTTCCAGTCGAACAATGCGGAGGGGGGATTGCCAATGCCGCCGTTTGCGATGTCGAAGAAGCGGTTTCGGACAAAGTTCACGCAGGAGCAGAAGGAGAGGATGACGGAGTTTGCAGAGAAGGTGGGGTGGAGGATTCAGAAGCAAGATGAGGAGGAGGTGGAGAGGTTTTGCTCGGAGGTGGGCGTGAAGAGGCAGGTGCTGAGGGTTTGGATGCATAACAACAAGAACAGTGCCAAGAAGCAGAGTGATATTCTGACCACCCCCGCAACAACAAGTCTGTCTTTTGAGAATGTTGAAGCTGAAGAAGAAGGAGGAGGGGAGGGAGGGAGGGAGGGACAACAGCTGAAGATACAGATCAATGGATGATTTGATGATAAATTAATGGTTTGATTGGCACTTAATTGGTAGGGAATGAAGAGTAAGTGAGATTTTGTATAAATTAAATGAAGAGGCCTAGCTTAGCTAGATCAGATCAGATATTTGCATGATGATTATTATTATTATTATTATTATTATTCTTCAGTGAAGAAGAGATACCTTCAGTTATTGTTTTGAATATCCAGCTTTATTTTCTTCTTTAACAGGAATGTCCTGTGCTATTTTTCCCATGCCATGGAATTGTGTTGAAACCTTGAAATGGTGATTATGAGTGTGCATTGCCAGAAGCTTGGTAGGGCCCAGTCTTCTGCGTTTTTTGTAATACCTGGCGTGTTGACGTTAGACCTGGTTTTATTGGTCCCTTCATTGAATTTTACAGGTCCAATATGAGTTTAGAGATACATGACCGAATCAGGCCCGGCCTTCTTTTATTTGTTGGGCTATTTCCTCCTCCTCTGCATAGTATTTGTTACATTTCCAACTTTGCCCTCTACACTTAAACACTGAAACAAGATTAAATAGGGGGAAAAAAAAACTAAACATCCGTTAATATTTTTCTGGTAAATACCTTGAGGTGTCTACACACCCAAATGATGGAATTAATCCCCAATCTGAATTCGGTTTAATTCTGGCCACAAAATGCTTCAAATGATGGAATTAATCCCCAATCTGAATTCGGTTTAATTCTGGCCACAAAATGCTTCAAATGATGGAATTAATTCCCATTCTGAATTCGATTTAATTTTGGCCACAAAATACTTCTAACGGGTTATTCGTTAATATTTTTCTCTATGTAGCATCATACTTAAATAACTAATTTAAGTGAATTAAACTAGTTGGTCAGAAAGACTGAATCTGTGTCCCTTCACACCAAAGGTCGAATCGAATCCCCATTATCTGATTTACTTTTCTCTGTGGCATTTTTTTTTAGTTTTTAAATATCATTTGATTGCTGCCCAAGGAAAATGTGGAAAATGTTAAACGGATGGGAAAACCAAGAAAAGGGGAAAAGGTAATGTCATTTTCTAGATTTTTCCTTTCTCAACCAAACCATCCTTAAGTTAAACCCAACAAATCCCATTTTCGCCTTGTGAACCCATCACCTATCCACCACTACCATCGCAGCGGCTCAATCTTTGTGTCTCTTTTCATGGCTGCCTCTGTTAACAACATTGCAGCTACATTTGCAACAGTACCAAAAACATCCTCTCCAAGTTCATCGTCTTCTTCTTCAAATCCTCACCAAACAAAATTCTCTCTTTCACTATCCCACAAATCCATCTCAACCTCTTGGAACCTACACAAAACCCTCCCTAGGTCCCAAAGATCCTCTCTTCTCAACCTCTATGGCCCACCGGGCCCACCCCCGAATGGCTCCATCTCCATCGTCCATCCCCGCCCCCTGATGATCCCCCCAAAACCAAGCAAACCCTTGTCAGTTTGCATAGGCGATAAGCTCCCAAACATAACCCTCTCTTACCTCGACCCAAACGACGGGGCCAAGCTCATCTCTCTCTCAACCCTCTGCAAAGGCAAGAGAGTCGTTTTCGTGGGTGTTTCGGCGCCGTTCTCTCCGCGTTGCACTCGGTTCGTGAAACGGGTTGCATCGGCGAGAGGTAAGAGCTCGGACTTGATCGCCTGCGTCGCGGCCAGCGACGTGTTTGTGATGAGGGCGTGGGGTGAGAATCTGGCCGTTGGGGATAGGGTCATGATGTTATCCGACGGACGTGGAGAGTTGGGCAATGCACTTGGCGTCTCTCTCAATCTCAACACGACCACTAACGCTTCTTTGGTTACCTTTAACGGTGTGATTAAAAGCGTTGAGTTTGACAAAGAAGAAGGTAGTCTGGTTGCTACCAAATCCATGGCCCGCTGAGAGCTTGTGGGCCTGAGCCCAAAAAGGCAAAATTTTGTGGCAGCGTTAATCTTTGGGCCCTTCACGCCACGTTTTTCGGGGATTCAGCAATTGTCATTGTCTAGATTTTAATTTTGACGCATTAATCCGAATTGCGGAGAGAAAAAACTTGAATTATTGGACAGCAAATTTAGAACCTCGTAATTCGTGGATTGCATATGTGCATTCTTTGGTTACAAAATTATTCAATCTTTTATTTTACAGAGAATAATACATGGAATCTACTTTCTCTAGCCTCCACCCATCTCATGTGAGGCCCATTTAAATTTAATATTTCACCCCGTGTGAAACAACGTTACACGAGGTTTATATTGGTCCAAATTTTTATATAAAAAAAGAAAAGAAAAAAAAAGTAGTAATTACAGGTTAAAAAATATTTGTAGATTATTCTGATTCGGGTGCGTTTGCGTCATCTGTGTCATCTGAATCATCATCCTTGATACCCATATCCCTAAAACGACAAGCACCCGCAATTAGTACCCATTAAATAGAGACAATTATAACTATAAATGCTTTGTATAAATAAATAAAAAATAAAAAAGACGCCAGAAACTTACTTGAGTTTGCCGTTAAACCATTCAGTCCATGTTGATGTGGTCTCCCTAGCTTCCTTGAAGGCATCAGAAGTAGATTCTGATAAGCCTTCTGCTGCGCCCTTTGCCGCTGAAGCAGCATCGGTGATACGATCCTTGGCATTTTCCACGAAGTTGTCATCACCCAACACCGTATGGATTGATAGAAGCACCACCAATGCAAAAATCAACACAAACGCGGTCTTCTTTCCCATGTTTTTCTGTTTTCTTTTTGTTTTCTGTTTTTTGAATCTTTTTTGGGTTTTTTTTTCTAGTTCCTCCAAACAAAAAGTTTTATGAAGATTAGGGTAGAAATGATTCTTTTTTTATAGACTCTAAGGTGACGGATCCTGAGGCTTATCTTCAGTCAATGTTTACGGAGAAAGTGATCAGAAATGCTAAATTTAGACTGGCACCAAACGAAAAAGCTCCCATTTTAGAAGTGAATTGTATGAAAACCGATAAACTCGAGTGTGGTGTGGTTGGAGAAAAACTTCCCTATACTAAAGATACTACTATGTGATATCCCGAGACAATTACGGTATTTTAATTTTTGACATGAGAACGAGATAGACTTGGTATGGCATCACGTATTTTTTTCTCTGGGCTACGTTAAACAGCATTGGTGGGCCTGGTCGGCCTAGCCCAAAATAATGTGGAAAGGATGGCCCATTAACTTTTTTTGCTTTTGTATTTTTAGGACTTTGTTTTCACACTATTCAGCACCAGGGGATGTAGCTCAGATGGTAGAGCGCTCGCTTAGCATGCGAGAGGTACGGGGATCGATACCCCGCATCTCCATTTTTCCTTTTTTCATGAATAAAAGCGAAGTAGAACGACAGTAGTAGTAATGCTGTCGGTTTTTTTTTATTTTTATGAATCCCTCAACTCCCTTTTCTTGAATTTCATCGTTTCAAAATTTCAAGCCAAAATAGACGGCCTCGATCGCTGTATTTAATAAGCAACAATTAAATCGATGGTTCGTATTTCAGACATCGTAGTGCCAGATTTTTTAGTATCCAAACCCAAAACGAATTGTTTTCCCCGCCTTTCCTTTGAACCAATCTGATCGTACATCTCTTAAAAGGAAACCGGATCGAGCTGGCGATTCAAACCTAATTGCTCTCTTTCTGGCCGTTCCTCTCTGAAATTTCAAAATTATTTTGCTTTCCTCTCCAGATCGCCGATTATCTCAGTCACCACTTCTTACATGCGATTGGAAGAATTGGACTTTCTTGATAGCATGCGGTGGCTTCCAAAGGACTAGAGGTCAGTGGACGAAGCTCGCAATTTGATATTATTGCCGATTATGCATTTGATTATGATATATTGCAGCTAATCTTATCTTATTATTTGCTTCATCATATTTAATCCATATAAATCGAATTTTTTAAATTTCCTACAATGAGTACACAATCCTATCGAGGAATTGCTTGACCGATGCATTGTCTGTGGATGTGTTAATTAATAATTTGTTGTTTTACTTCTCTCTCTCTCTGGTCAGATTGTTGTTTTTAGAAACAGGAAATCAAGCATAGGATACAAAACAAAACACATAATATATATATATATATATATTTTCTTGCAGAAAATCATTACAATAAGTAGACGACATTTGAAGTAGGAGCAGAGAAACACATCCAAACTTGGTATAGGTAGGAAGGCAGAATGACAGAGCAATCCGTTTTGTCTTTTTACCAGTCTTCTGGGCCGTCGCATCAGATCTTTAGGTTTTTCATAAGCCTGAATGGATTACAAGGAATTAGCATTAGAAATTTAGAAAATTCCCAATTACCAAGTGAGCATAGAAAATCGTGTAGATAATATGAAAGTCGTAGTTGCTTTTGCAACAATTAGCATCTTTTAAATTTGAACTGGTCAATCAGATTATCCCAAGACACCATTATCTTGCTAATCTCACCCATTTAGACATAATTAGCCTCTTTATGGTGGGGAGCTTCGTTTTGAAGGAAGATGCCCTATTTTTGAAATTATCTGCCGACGTAATACATTGGTTACTGCAATGCGTAATTGTGTGTGATATAAAATTATAAATATATGATGAACTACAAAAGCTGCCAAGAGGTTTAGCTAGATCCAACTGTCACTGTCGACTGCGAGCAAGCCCTTGGGATTAATGAAAGAATGTGATAAGTAATTAAAAACGAGAGTTCGGCGTCACACAATGATCCTCATCTACATTTTGGAAGAACCGGGTGACTATAATCAATTACTTTAATCATAGGTCCATGTGCATATGAGATCCAAAACAAGTAAGGAATAGATTCCATGTGGGCTTTTTCTTAGGAATTGAAGTTGAATATAGTATGGGATAGTGGATAGATATACAAAAGAATTAGAGAAAACATATAAAATTTCTTGGGGAGGAGACTCAAGTCAGTGTCTTTATTTAGAACTGTCGATCCCAAAAGAGGAAAAGCTGGTTAATGATATTATGAAAAGGATACGGTGGGACTTGTTACCAGCCGTTTAGGTATTTCAGCTAAGAGTGCTAGAATTTAACTTAATATTCTGCTCTTCTTTGGCTTTTTAGCAGCTCCTGTCAGTACCATTGGTTTTAAGCTTTTCATGCATTGCCATTTTTTGCCATTTTTGCCATTTCCATCACTACATGCAATTGTACCTGTCTCTAATATTCATATAAGTTTGTAAAACAGATTCATACTTGGACATCTCTTCTGGGTTCCTAATTTATTTATTTATTTATAAGTCTTGGACCTTACTGATTGATAACTTGGTAGATGACAATGTGACCGTGAAGAGTCCCCCAACACATTTTTCTAAACTAGGATGTCCTAGATACCACTGAAGGAAGAATAGACAGCATGGATTAACTTTGAATGCTTAGAAAGTAAGGATAATTGCTAAACATGAAAGCATTATTCTTACCTCTGCTCATCACCAATTCCTCTGCTGCCGCTGCTTCCAGTGCCCTTATAATTGGGTATTGGGACTTGGCCAGATTCTATATGCATGAGATCCTGCACCAGAATCTCATAGTGCCTCTTTACTTCCTCTACAGATTTTCCACCCACAGCCTTGGCCACATTATGCCAGCGGTCTTGTGTGTCCTTGTCATACACAGCCAGAGCCTTCTCAAATAATTTGTTCTGCTTTGGTGTCCAGGAGGAGTTCCTTGAGGAAGAGAGAGATGCCATTATTCAATCTACTCTTAGGTGAAGATATGAACCAAAATTTTGAACTGGTAAGGTCACTGAGCCGCTCTCAGAGGAGCTAAGTCAGAAGATGAAGAGGAAAAAGTATGGTGAGAGTGGATAACGTGTATGGCGTTTGGAGTCAAGTTAGAAGACTGAAGTCAAGGCGATGATGATATGGGCAAGAGGTTGCCATGCTCCTTATAAGCAGGAGGAGAGACTCGTGGGGCTGTGCAAGTTGGCGAATATTATAGGGACAAAACAGGATGTGATTCGCTTCCTTGATCAACGCTAAGAAGGACAATAAGCGAAAGGAGCTTATATATTTTACAAGGTCTGTGTCTTCTCATTATAATATCTCATCATCAGAAAGTGGAATTTTTTGAGAATTTACAGCCTGGTGGGGATTAGATCCCAATTCTAAGTCTACCCATTAACGTAGATGCGCTTACAATCTGAACCTCCACCTTTCGTTTGAAACCCGCAACAAAACAGGTACGTAAGAAGATACTCTGTCTTCTCTTGGACTTAGTTAATATAGTGATATTATTATTTATTTGCTAGTAATAAATAGACATGGAAAGATGGTATGTAGGCATGGCATCTAGAAATGTGCTGCGAGTTTAGCTTTCATCTCATAAGTAGACAACAAAGATGACGAATATGATTTGAATGAAAACAAGAAGAACATCATCGTCATGTGCATGAAGGAAATTGTTGAATTTTTTTTCTTTCTCAATTGCTTGTTACATTTACTCTTCCATATCTTTTAAGATGTCAGAATCGAAGGACAAGTTTCAAAAAAGCAGTTGTGCCTCACGGGAGGTGGGGCCTCCTATTAGGTAACTTAGAAAATAAAGGAGAGTGAGATTTGTACGTAATTGAATATTGGAACTTGGAAAATGTTGTTTCAAAATACCTTCTTAGCAACATTCCAAAATTTTATTTTGCGGGATGGACAGCTGAGAATCACCACCAGGGTCAACCAAGTGTTGCTCTTTAGATCCTGTGTCAGTTTTGTGTAGGAGGGGCAGTTTACTTCCTGCAATAGTCAATGTCAATGATCCATACAATCTTTACTTTTTTTCCCTGGACAAGTTTTCTTGCCTTTACTGTACGCATTTAATAGTAGGTGTCTTAGAAACAAGTGGTCTGGTGTGGTCCACATTTATCTCTCATTGTTGAAGGAAGTCAAAACTAATTGGTAATGGAAGAGTAGCTCAACTCCTTATAAATTCAGGTTAGTGTTTTTAACTTTTTAATGTGGGACAAATACTTTTAACATGACCGTGCATGTGTGGCGAACTTTGAAGCTTAACACATGAACAACACATATTGAGCGGCGTGGGAGCATGTGTGGCCGTTGAGCCCAACACGTGAAGTCTTGCTCTGATACCATAAAAGAAGTTGAAGTTTCATCCTGAAATCAATTGGCAGTGGGGAGAGTAACTCAACTCTTTACAAACTCATACTAGGTCTCTTAATTGTTCAATGTGGGACAAATACTCTCAACAATTGCCGCATCTCATATATCAAATACCCAATCTACCCTTTAGTGTTAGCAAAACAAAATATAGAAAAGGGTACTTTTCTTCTCAGCCAACACAAAAACAGCATCTCCTCTAAATTTCTCAGCCTTTTTCTAACAATTTTATGTGTTAATTAATTATTAGTTACAATTATTGATGTAACTAATACACTTTAACAGTCGCACATTCCAATGAAAAATGTGATTCCTCTGACATTACTTATTTTCAATTACTTCTTCAACTTCCTCACCTACTTTCTCCTAACTCCTTGCATAAACACCAATCTAATGTAAGTTATAATTGAGATTTTAGTTATTCCTACTTCACTTTCTTTTGATTTTAGCACCTAATGTTGTGTTTGTCAAAAAGAGGTAGACATCCAATCACCACCGATCTAAATTTAACGCGTGTGCGCTTTTTGGGGTTCAAACTCTTCAACATGAGGGAGTTTTGTTTTTTTTTCTTTTCTTAGCCGCATAAACATAGTGGACTCTAATCAATGTTAGGCACAGGCCCGTAATCATTGTTGGAGTTGATAAAGTTGCAACAAATCAATCTAATGACATGCATGTTTTTCTGCTAATGGTTATGGGGCTTCTGTATTTTGTGTTTGACTTGGTTTGCATTATGAACATTGTGCAACAGGTTATTAATCAGCAGCAGGGCTCTAATGAGGTTTCTTCCATTTAAGACAACTTGCTCGGATTCTTGGCTTGAGATGCTGCTAGCATTAAGGCGGGGCCCGGCCAAGGGATAACAACATATTCAGGTAAATGTGCTTGAAATCTTTATAGTAAAAAACCACCAAATCTTGATACTTTGAATTTTTATTATCTCAAGTCCACTTAAGCGAAAGTTGTGATTCTTCTTAATTCTTGTGGAATCTCTATTCTTAGTTTTCTCCCCACCTCACCAAATTGTTTGACTAGTACAGTAGGGTCTCCCCCCTAGCTCTAAGAAATGTGCAAAAATAGATAGTTGCTTTTTCACTCTAATTTTTTATGTTACACTTCAAAATGAATATATTATCATGTTAAAGAACTCACAAAAAGGATGAAGGATTAAAAATTACACTTGAATTGTCCTTACACTTCAAAATCATATAATTCGAAGAAAGAATGAAAGATGACAAAGTGAGAGTGGGAATAGCATTTCGCCATAAATATATAGAATCGCCATAAATATATAAAAAGCAGATGCTCCTTTCACAGTCCATGACTTTTGAGGACCAAACTTTTGACATCTTAATGTCATTAGCCATAGAAATAAGGTATTTGGTCTGAGGACTAGGACTAGCCGAACAAGAACCAATGACTTTTCAGGAATTGGAGTCCAGCTTCCCCACACAAGGTCCAATCATCTACCACCAAAAAGCTTTGAGCATGGAGGACCACTCTAAGAGGGGAATTTTTGAATAAAATCGAGGTCTTTTGATTGCTGAATCTACTTGGAGAAAGAATCCCGTTGTTGATAGAAAGTTCGAAAAGATAAGGAGTGGACGCTAGGTTCATTTGCCAGCCAATAGGAATTGTGCAATCTTGTGATTGATAGAGAGGTGATGATATATGCTTTATGGCATGCCGAACATAATCAGTCTGACCCTAAGGAATTGAAATTGAATCTACAACTTATCTATGGTTTTATACCAGATAGAGTATATAATGAAATGTTGCTTTCGAAATTGGAGGCAAATGGGATCATGAATATTGTATTTGTGCACTTATATTCACTGTTTTTATTCCGTGGCCCGACTTCTTGTCGAAGACCATGTTGTGGCACTTTTTGTTTTTGGTCTGCCGGCCTAGTGACTGCGACTTACTAGCAGGTTCTTCAAAACCATTGGGCTCATTGATATTGAACTTGGGCTTCGCTTTGAAGTCTGGCCACTGGCCAGTGATTTTTCAAATTTGTATTGATGTTGTGTTACAATAATTTGATGAACATAAAAACTTAGATAGATCATAGGTTCTAATAGTATTTTCCTCTTATGTACTCGTTCAGTTGCTTTAATTCCCCACTTTGCTGCTCCACTACTGCTCGAACTACATCTTTGATTGAAATCATGCCAACTATCTTCCCATCTATAACTGGAACATGCCTTATTTGATTCTCTGTGACATAAAAAGTCATCATTTATTTTCACTTTAATTTCTATTGGTAGTTCTTACAGAATAGAAATTGCGGCCTTGGCTGCTTTACCTGTCATAAGTTGCATTGCTTGAAGAATGTTTGTGTCAGATGTCACTGTTATTAATTTGTTCTGTTAAAAGGCAAACAGTTTGGTTGAATTTAGAATGAAAATGGTTGGTCAAGCCGTCCAAGTAGAGTAATTAGTCTGTAAGTTAAACTTAAACTGACCTCATTAGTCATAATTTCGCCAACTCTAGTGTGGTTGGGCGACCTTTCCTGTGCAATTATCTTCCTCAAATAGTCTGCTTGGTTATGCCACCATCAATAGAATAGAAGAATCAGATTTAACTTTTGTTTTATTGTTGAATCAGAGAATTTGATCCAAGTTTTTGTAAATAATTTTACCTCTTTCTGTGATGATCCCCGCAATGTATTGTTGCTCTCCTGGCTTCAGTACCACTAATGACCCGACATTGTTTTTAGCCATCTGCAATTTCACTCTCATATTTAGTTTACTTTAAAATGAGTATTAATATGAAATTCATATTACAAATACATGGTCAGGGAGGGCGTACATTTTTGACGGCATCAATTACAATGTCGTTTGTGTGGCACCAGAGCCAAGGTCCAGTTTGTTCACCTTTTGTCATCAGAACATCTGCCACAGTCACATTCTCTAATCCTTTCTGCTGTGCAGGTGGAGAGGTAACCCATTTTAAACTTGAAACTATCTTTTCAATTCCAGCAATTTCTCTCCCCTGCGCATGCTGTAAAATTGCAGCCTTGAGTATTTCCTGGCATGATCGAACGGCCCTGGAAATTCCTTGCATTATAATTCCTGTTTAAGGACAAATGGTATTTAAAAAAGAAGAAAAATTTCATGAAAACTTCGAAGAAGTACATGTGGAAAATTATTGATACAGACCTTGGTGGGCAGATGAGAAAGCTACCTCAGAATTGATTGGAAGCTCTGCTTATGATGGAGCAAAGGGTATGGAGCTGCCTCGTGTATAGGAATTCACTGTAGCAGCAGAAGATGATGTACGTAATCTCTTCCTTGAAAATGTGTTTTCGTCGTATTCTTTTCTTGAATGGCTGCATGAAGGAAACTTTGTTTTATTTTTTAAAATGATTTTACTTCATTTTCAGGTTACTTGTCCAGGTGATTTGGAAAGCCAGCTCCCTCAGCAATGCCTATAGTAAGAATTCTTCATCTCAATTCTATCAAGGCACCGATAGTTTTTTGTTTTTTGTTTTTTCATTCCAACTTGAGTTTAAGAAGACGAACTCACTACCTTGTCGACTGGTCTAACTCACATTTGCTAGTTATGATTCAATTAAAAGAAATAAAAACCGGGAAAATATTCAAAGAGTAGCAGCCCTTTTTTAAGTAACACGTGAACTGCGACTTTGCTCTTTAAAACAGCAAGTATATATACTTTGCATTCCCTTTTGGGGAGATCTGCACAAAAGTGGAGTGAGATTCCACTCCTAGTAGAGGAGGAAAATCTGCCCAGGGAAATTGCATATCGGAATGTTAGTAATCTTCTCTCTGACTTTTTCTTTTGGATTGTCTCATTTCTTCTCATGAAAAGTGCCACTTTCCTTACACTTAAAACAATGTCATTAATGTATTACACAAACTAGTTTTTGTTTTCCCAGTTTATCATTATTGAACATATTAATTCTTTTTAATAACAAGCTAGTTTTTCATCCAAAAAATAAATAAAATAACAAGCTAGTTTTTTTACAACTTTCTTACTACCTTGTTAAAAAATTAATTAAGAAAATAAAAACTGAAGTTTTTTTTATTTTTTATTATCCAAAGAGGACATGTTTTGTTAAACACAAAATATTGATGATATCACTTTCATGATAACAATGTCATGAAACAAACTTTAATTATTTTTTTTAAAAATGATTTTTTTTCTTATTTAATTTTTAACAATGTGCTAAGAGCATTTATAATCATACTTTCTATTTTTTTAGTAAAAATTTAGCTAAAAACACACAAGTTATTTTAGGATATCTTTATAAAATTTCAACTTCAATCATATTCTCTAGTTTAGGGAGTCATAAATGCTAGAATTATATTTTAATTCAACATAAATGGTCCATCTCTATGAAAAAATAATATAAAAATAGACAATATTGATTAAAGGTTTTAAAATATTCATTAAATATGGTACCATTAGAATATAAGGAGCCACTAGTAGTTCATTATCTCTGTTCAGATTTAGGAGATCCTAGAGGTCTTTCTATTTTATAAGCTGGATATGGAGCATGGTTGGAGGTGAGTTTTCTTACTTCCTCCTTAAATTTTATCTAGGTGATTTAGGGAGTCTATTGTGGATGCTCTAAGGAAGTTGTAACAAAATTTGGATAAATTGAAGGATATATAAAAGCTAATATATTTAATAAGGATAAACTTGAAAAACAAAAACTAACTTGTGTGAGACATTAATGATATTGTTTTAAGTGTAAGGAAAGTGACACTTGTTATTAGAAGAATAGAGAATGTCCAAAAGAGAAGGTTGCTAGCATTTATCATTGCATATTTTCCAATAAATCGTAACTAAATATTTGTGAGAGGTAAGGTAAAGAAGCAGAAAATTGGAGAAGGCATAAACCAAAATTAAACGAGTCCCAGAAAGTTTCCAAGGTATCAAATACAATTTCAATATATACCAGTCCCTGCCTTCATCGTCTTCAACAAAGCCAATCCTCTCCTTCCAAACCATACATGGCAGACAAAAGCAAACTGTTTCGCTTTAGGTTCTCTTTGCGTAAGCGTGGTTCTCAGCGTGGTCCTCAAGTAGAACCAGAGCCACGTCCAGTGGCTAAAGCCCAAAACCCTGCCCAGACAACCACCAATGTCCCTGTTGAGCGACCGCCATTTCGGCCTGCAGGAATTGCCCCTGTGAAGCCCTCTCCTTCCCAAGCTCAGGCACCATCAAGAACTGAGCATCCTCCACCATCACCATCTCCATCTCGTGCAAATGAGTCCCGAAAACCATCTGGTTCAACAACTGAAGCTCAAATTGACGTTGAATCTTCTCCACCATCACCATCTCGTGTAGCTTCTCAACCCTCCCAAGCAGCATCACAAGTATCATCCCCTCAGACTCAACCACAGCCCACCGTTCCAGAGAGCTCTTGGCTTCCTTCCTTTTCTGCTCAACCCCCATCACCTGCCTCTCAACCAGAACCAAAGGAAGCAATACCTCAACCAAATGCAGAAATCGTTACGTCTGAAACTATTTCCAATACTCCAAGAGAAATCACCGTTCAAACTCATCCAGCTTTGGCAGAAGCAGAAACAATTGCTTCATCTGAGAAGGTTGATCCTGATACCATTGGTGGAGATCAAAAGCAGCTTCCAGAATCAGAGACAGAGTCAAAAGAGGATAAAGAGGGGAAGAAAGTAGTGCAAGTGCTGACGAAAGATGAAAAGACCAACGATCCAGGTTATGGAGAACCAATGCAAGAAACAGTCATTCCACTTCATGCTGCAGTAACAGGCTCAGGAGAGCACACTCAAGGGCCAGTTGGAGTTGCATCGCAAGCAGAGGAACAGCCCGAGAAGCAAGAAACTTCAGACAGAACGGAGACTTTTACCACCACCAGCTCCAGTTCGAAACCGATCAAAACTCCAAAAGACAGAAGCACCTCAAGGATGTCTTTTCAAAAGATAGTTTCGTCAACTGCAGAACAAGCTCCCCCACATAAACAAATCAGAGAAGATGCTCGCAAACTTCATAAACAGGCCACTGGGAACCAAATGCTTGAAAATCTAGTTAGCGTCATCACCCTAACTGGTGAAAACAGAGGAGCATCAATGCACTCAAGCTCAGAACCAGCAAAAGAAGAAGAATCCGTTCACATACACCGCAGATATAAGAGCAATCCAGATGACAGCCTTGAATCCACTACTGATGAAGAGGTAAACAACAAGGATAGAAGTTTTGAGGACGGGACGAGTCAAGATGATCAACAAACGAGTGCATATATCAACAGCAATGTGCAGAGCATCAATAACGCTATTGTGTTCAATAGTTTTGTCACAGAAGGGAACTCCGGTGTTGAGGCGGTTTTTCCTCAAAACCCTGCAGAATCCATCAAGTCCAATGGTAAGTCAGAGCCCCTTGAAACACACAACGCTCAATTCACCATCAGACGGCGATGCCTTAGAGGGCTCTTCTTGGAACCAAGTGACTCAGACCCAGATAACCCTGAAAAGCCTCGACGTCATGGCTGCCGCTATAGTTGCAGGGGAAAGAGAACAGACTGAGATTGGGATCTCTAATCATGTAATATCACCTTTATAAGATCTATATTTTAAGATGAGAGTGATGTTTACATACTTAGAGAAAGTTGCAAAAAAGTGCTTTTGTGCATATAAATAAATTGGCAACTTACATTATGCTTTATGGGTTATTGCCATTACACAAACTAGTGCGACTTCAATGAAGGCACTTTCTGATGGACCAAAAGGCACAACCTAAAGTGCTTTGTTTCACGAAGTGTATTTACAGTTAAATCTAAGGGAAGACGAACATGATAATCACATGATTTGAATAGACAGTAAATCATTCACAGGCTGGTTTCGTGTCAAAGCTGCTCAAGCAAATTGCGAAGGCTTGGAAAGCAGAGAGAGGGTAGCGATAATCCATAGTGAAAATGTCTTTACCAATCTTCCCGAATTGCAGGATTACTTTCTCTTGTTCAGCCAATGAAACATTATGGCAAGGCTCTGCAGAAGCCACCAGCTGGAAATTCTTCACGGATGCCACTGTAACACGACCCTTAAAGTTTAGACACCAACACTGCAGCTGTTCATGCCATCGAGGGGATTTATTTTTCAAAATGAGTGGATCCTTCATGCCATGTTCCAAATCCAGTGTGGGACTACTAGAGCCCAAGTTAGCAAGTGGCTTCTTCCCTTGCGAAATGGACAATGGAGAGCATTTTTGGTTTAAGCAAGTTAATAACTCTGTTGGAGTTGGAGCAAAGCCCCCTTCTTGAACTGCTGTTATGGGGATTGATTGCATGGTGCATTGCATTCTCCTTGGGCCCCTTGTTCGGAGGATATTGAGTTCATAAGATACAGAAGCAACACTAAAACAGCCAGCAGGTACCCTTGGGGATACCTGCTTTGAATTGATTCTGCGATGTGACCTACAATTTGTTTGCATTGCTGGGTTTTGTGGAGGCTGACTGTCATAAATGGTAAACTTGGACCCAAGAAAATTAGACCTGTTCAGCATTTGCCAATAAATTGAATGAAGAAAGAATGAGTCATGGCTGTAACAACCAAGACAAAAAAAAAGGAAGAAAAAGAATGAATCATGGCAATGACAAAGATCCATTTAGGTAAAGCTTGCCTTAGTTTTCCAACATAGGTATTGCTTGCTCGAGAAAATTCATCTGCAACCAAGGATATCACAAAACCCGTACTAGTTGCCCGTCTGATCTTTCTTGCTGCCAGCAATAGCTTACTCATATCCCCAGACAGAGCTGTAGATTCATAAGAGATCATTAGTAACCGGTCTACAAAATTCAAGGATACCCTCGTGGTGGAATTAGTATAACTGAGCTATTAAAATCATAGTTCAGGAACCAAATTCATTTAGAAAGAATTTGAACACTAATTTCTAACACACAACTAAGGGGAGAAGCATCCAAACATTTACCAGGGCTTAGACCAAGATACAGTCTATATGTGGAGGTTTCTCTTTCCCTCTTAATAAAGCACTGGATCGGAGCATCTCTTGGACCCGGCTAGTAGATATATGCAAGTAATGTGGAAAGTAAATCATCTTCAGTCAGTTCGTGATAGGATGTAAGAACCTGAAAATCTAGTTTTATGAGAAAAATACCTGCTTCAGTGAGATGGGGAAGGTAAGCCAGCCACATTGCTCTGGAGTCTTGACTATCTCTTTTGTAATCTCCCTCCATGACCTGCAAACCGAAGCACAGGCAACGACATCTCTCCGAGCAGGCCAGGAGGTCTCGCTCGCTTCCAAGCGTTGAATTATGTCAAGAAGCAACTCGGGGGGCAAGTTTGCCCATTGGCTCTGTGGAACCAATTCAGGTGATGGCAATGAAGATAATGACTGTTCAGGGGCAATGTGTGATTTTGCTCGGCGACGCGTATGCTTTTTCTCTGCCCTTCTTGATTTTTTCCCCATGTCATCTCTGAGCTCCAGTAGCTCGTGAAATATTTTTTTGAGTGACATCACTGACCGGACTAATAGTAACACCACAAGGAAAAATTTGGTTTGAAAAATGTCACTACAATTATGACCAGAATTCAAATGTTGAAGCTGATATACTGTTTGTAAGTTTGGCAGATCTAAGTATAGAAATTACCTGGAAGATCGGCTTCAGAGTTTAATATGTAGTGGAACGTTGTTTTCTTCAAAAATCACAATGGAAGCACCGCAAGTTTGAAACTTTACTGTTGCAGCACAACAATCGCTCGTTTAGAAGGGGGAAAAAAAAGGAATTTGATCGATGGCAATGCTAGCAATTAAAGTCGACATGTTCTAAGCGTGAGGAATGCAAACAATGCACATCAGAAACCCAATGAAAATCAATGGCGACAGCGCCAATAGCAAATGTTTCACAATCCTAGCCTCAAATCACAAGAAGAATGCTGGTAAAAACACCGAAACTGCAAACATTCGAGATCCGAAAAAGCACGAAAAATCCCTTGATCTCAACAAAACTCAAAATAAGAGAGAGAGAGAGAGAGAGAGAGAGAGAGAGAGAGAGAGAGAGAGAGACAGACAGACAGAGAGAGAGAAATGGTACGTACCAAAAGTGGGGGCAAATGCGCGTGGAATTTTCGGAGGCTTCTAGGAAATCACCAATGTCTCGGACAAAAAACAAACACCGAGAGAGAGAGAGAGAGAGAGAGCATATGCTATATACTAAATGGCCATATGGGCAAGGCCAAAGAAGCACAATGCTAAAGAAGCTGATTGTGATTTAGGAATTTTATATTGATTAAATCCAAGGAAAAGAAACGAAACGAAAGCCTCTCTTTTAATTGCATTGAAATGAATTGTGGTGGATTTGGCGATCGGAAACAGAGTTGGTTGCAGCAGCAAGCGCGCCCTTGCCACTACAACCATCACCACCTGAGCCACCGCTGTCCTGCCACTCCACTCACCCCTGCCTCTCCCACGCAACAACAACAAAAGCTCTCTTTTCCTCTTACTTGGATTAGGAGGCCTTCCTCGTCTATTAAAACGCCTATTTTCTTAACCACCTCTTTTTTTTCTTTTTTCTTTTTTCTTTTTTTTTCTTTTGCCGCTTAAACTACTGGGCCCATTTCAGTGGATGCGCTCCCAAAAAAAATTTATTTGGAGAGCATAATGTATTCTCTAATTTTTTTATTTTTTTAGGACATTTCTTATTGAAAGTGACAATAATATATTAAATTCAGACGCACTACATGATTGTTAAATTAAAACTCGAGTTTACAACTTTTATTGGAGCAGCAATTGCTCCAAACCAATACACTAGTGAGTCTCTCTAATCTTAAAAATGAGAAATTGAGTGTTTTTTTCCCTTAGAAAAAAAGAGAGTGAAGTTAAGATATCCTAAATCATTTTTAAGACATGAAGTGAAAGTAAACCTTACGTCGAGAATAAATAAACTGTTCACTATCAATTCAGGTTGTTAAATTGTCATAAGCAAAAGTGATTATGTTTTTTCTTTTTTGATGGAAGCAAAAGTGATTATGTTAAAGTCAGGATAAGAAGCGCAATCAAACCTTATTATTATTTCATTTACCTTTTTTAAAGAAGAATAAGAATAGTACTCAATTGAAATAGCCAAGAAGAAGAACCGGGCCTCAAAGGTTGCGACAAAGAGCCGAAAGTACACCTGTCCCCCACACGTGCGAGCAATGCACGTGGTGAAGTGAGGACCAGGAAGACCATATCATCTTAGATTTATAGTCATAACAATAAAAAATAAAAGACAAATCTTCAGCTTATTTTCTAAATTTTTTTTCTTAGTACCCGTTTAACATTACTTATTTTGAGTGACAAATGATTTTTTAAAAATTTTGGGAAGCCCAACGTGTTTGGTAAATTATGAGAAAATCACTTATTAATGAAAATTGTTGTGAAAGAAAGTTAAAAGGGAAAACAACTAGTGAGATGTTTTTATTTTCTGATTATGCGGGAATCAGTTTCGAAGATGCGCTAGGTCTAATAATTATGCGGGAATTAGCATTAACAACACTTTTAACAAAAATTTTATCAAACGCCAAATTGTTTTATCTCACAGTTGATTTCTCTCACCGCAAATTTGACAGCGATTATTTTCAGCACAACAATATCAAACTAGCCCTTAGTTAAATACGATGGGTTTGAAGCACAAGCTTTATGTGGTCTTGATAGTACTCAATTTAAGTTTTTGCTCCATTAAAATAATTTGTATTGTGTATTATAGGATATCACTGTTTTTGTTATTCTCGCTGATCATATTCCATCATACATAATAATTTTTCGACATAATAAAACATGATTGGATAAAAATAATACTATGCTATCCCCGTGACATGAAACTCGTCATCCACCCAACCCAAGTGTGAGTTTGATGGAGACTAATCAATAGCAAGCAACAAGCAGCAATACTGGGAATTTGTGAAATTTGTGAAGCGAGCGGGGAACCCAGAAATTGTTGAGAGGCGAGTCGGTGTCAGGCTGTCAGCAAGTCACACTTGCACGTGCTTATGCCTGAATCTCTTCGCCTTTTTTCCTTGATTCTAGACTTTCATTTCATGCATCAATTTTCTAAATACACTGAATGCTTCTCATCAAACCGACTCACTAAGCTTTCAACTTCGAGTAGGCAAATTAAATAAAAATAAAAAATTAATTAATTACTTAAAGAGCAACAGGTCTTGTCTTTCACTTTCAGATAAGATAGTCCTAATAGAATGTTAATGAGATCCAATCTAATCTAATCTAATCTAATCTAACCTCTTCTTTTGCTTGCTGGTGGAACGCATAATTGGGCATTGAGCATGGTCCACTCACCTAACTAATTTATTAATTTCAGTTTAAGCAGTGCAATTATGATAACATGTATTATTAAGCTTGTTAATCAAACATTTGTAATTAGTAAAGTAGAAATGAGTCTGTCCGGATCTCAAAGTGGAAAACAAGGAGATATCACCAAAACGTTTTTGAGTCGTACCTAAAAGGCCTCCAACTATATGATCAAATTTGTTTTGATTAACGTGAAATAAGATCAGACCAGTGACCACAATTATATACGATCACATGGATTGGAAATGTGTGGAGCCCTTATGCATGCCTATATGTTCATTATTTTTTAATGCTAGCCATGATTGTTGGACTTTGACAAGCCCAAGCTGGTTCATATCTGGACCCATTTTAAATGAATTGATTGGCATCTTTCGACATGGATAAGGTTTGGCCATGCACCCGTGCCCCCCTCCCCTTCCCTGTGTTCCATTACATCTAGTACCACATTTGAAACATCAGGGAGCAATGCCAGCTAAATGTGCTGTAACGTGTTATGTTTTTTCGTTTCTCTTTGGACACGAGTGATATTAGAAGAGGGAGAATCCAAATCATGTGCATGAATAATTATTTTTAATAACTTGAGTTACAAGCCACTCGAGTTCATCTAAATAATAAATTGAACTCAGCTTTTGTGTTATGAGTCCAGATGATGAATTAGACATGGCCATCGTCTCAAATATTTGTTTCTTCATACTCCTAGCTTTGTTATGGCCCAAAAGACAAGAAGAAGCGAGGTCGACCTAATCTAAATATAGTCAGAACGGCTCACCTGACTTGAGGACTAATATTTAAGCGCCTCTAAGCGACAAAGTTATTGGAGCCATCAGATTGATCCAATGGGTGAGACTCTTAATAATAGATTCTAACCCATAAGACCCGTTTTAGTAATCTTTCAATTCTTTTCAGACCGAAAAAACAAAATAAAAGCAAATAGGCTTTGAGCCAGTTCTTTCCTTGCAGCAGAAGGCACAAATCGATGAGTGAGAAGTCAAAGCAAACAGGTGCTCATTGGTCTTCAAAAAAGGAAAGTTCCCATGGAGAGGCTGAATCCCAATTAAATGGGGGAAAACATAATGTTTTAACTTTTCCTAAATCCAGAAAGTTTTAGCTACTCGAACTCCTAGCTCTGCATGGATAGCAACCCTATATATACCTTAACTATTACATGCAAAATTCAACGAAATCTTATTATTGGACATATATGGCCATGCTCTTCTTCTATGCTTTCATGGTGGTGGGTGTGCTCTCTCAAGCACACCCAACCCCGCCAATTTCTCTCACCGTCGATCAGTCCGGCAAAGGTGACTATACTAAAATACAAGATGCTATTGACGCCGTGCCGTCTAACAACTTCGCGCCTGTGTCGATTTGGGTTCGACCTGGTGTCTACCGAGAAAAAGTTTATGTGCCCGCAGACAAACCCTTTATAACAATGACTGGCACAAACGCAGAGCAGACCATAGTAACATGGAACCAAGCCGGATGGATAAATCAAACCGCAGTCTTTGCTGTGTGGGCTTCTGATTTTACAGGACGCCAACTCACAATTCAGGTATATATACATTACGCTTCTATTGAGGAAACCAAACCGTATTATTTTTAAGTTTATGCATCATTTTTATATAGAAGACGAATTATATATATTATTTTAACATTACTTAATTTGAATTGGCGAGTGCAGAATACATATGGAACCGGTGACAAAACAGTGGCACTAAGAGTATCAGGAGACAGAGCAGCATTCTATGGGTGCAAAATTTTGTCCCATCAAGATGCCTTGTTTGACGAGATTGGCAAGCACTACTACAAAGACTGCTACATTCAAGGAGACGCTGATTTTATATTTGGAAGTGCTGATTCTTTATATGAGGTATATATCTACGTAACAGTTACTTAATTAAATATTAATTAGTATATATATAGAATAACTAACTTATTAATTTGCAGAATTGTCACTTGCATACACTTTCGGATCAAAACGGAGCTATAACGGCCCAACGACGAACTTCTCCTTCAGAGGAATCTGGGTTCACCTTTTTGTGGTGCAACATCACCGGCGTCAAAACGGCACTCCTGGGAAGGCCGTGGGGGCCATATGCCAGAGTCGTATTTGCCTACACTCAAATGTCAAATGTGATTCTGCCACAAGGTTGGGACAGTTGGGGGCTATCACCCTACAACTTAAGGTATATATTTTTGAGGACTTAATTTTTCAATTACTCTATTTTATTTTAATTTTTGGTATGTTTTGTAATTTTTGGTTTTAATTTAATGTGTACATGCGCATGCAGTAACGTTTTCTATGGGGAATACAACTGTTTTGGACCGGGAGCCGTGACAACACAAAGAGTTAATTGGGCACACAAGCTTACCATCAGACAATTTGTACACTTCATGGCTCAGGCTAGTGCCCTTCGGCGTACAATTATTGGTAGCGACGGAGGAGGAGGGCAACGTGGAGCTTCCACTCCCATTGGAGAAGAAGGAAACAAAGCCAAGGAGAATGAGAGAAATAGACAAGGTGCTCCAACTGCAGGGCTCACCATTGAGTAGGGGTTCTCGAGTGGGTGCGGCGCCTATAGGTCTTCTGGGACCTTTTCTTTTCTTCTTTTTATAGTTTTACGAAGATTCTTATATTCTAGATTATTTGTACGAACTTTTTTTGTAAAGCCTTTTTTTTTAATAAACTCAGCAGGTTTAGGAACTGACTTGGTCAAGTTTCATTCGTTGCGATTATGAGAATTATGAATTGGACCAGTTCCATATAACCCTAATATTTTTCGACGGCGGCAGCCATGGTCAAACCCCAAATACAAGCAACTGAGCCGCCTGCTAGCTCAATAACGTAATGTGCCATTAACAATACAATTTCACACAAATGACCTACTTAATCTACTTCTTAAGCTACCTCGAGACTTGTGTAACATCAATAATTCAATACGCCGCCATTATAAGATTTTCTTATTACTGTTTATATATATATATATATATAATCTGATCAGCTTCACCACCTCACTCCTTTTCGTTTTCAAACATTTGTTTCTTCAGTCTCAAGTAAAAATCTCCTGCTGCCGGCTTACTTCTTCTATCACTGGGGTGGAAATTCCTTGTAATTATCTTCCTCCTCCTGGCCTCCACTCGTTCCTTGTAAAAGTGGTTCTAATTCATCAGACTTTATTGCCAAGAAAACGGCCCCACCTTCCTTGGCATTCACCTATATAATCAGGAGCACCCATATTCTTCAATTCATCCATTCATCCATTTATTCTATAATTAATTATCGACCTACCTACGCAGGGATAATTAATTTTCATACACCTTTGATCAAAGCAGATATAGTCTCTAATGGCGACCACGATGATGATCAAGTGCTTCTTTGCAATGGCCATAATATTGCATGCTTTTCTGGCCTTTTCTCAAGCAGAAGCAGACACAACGCAGGGGTCAACAGCCGTTCTCATCACGGTTGACCAGTCGGGCAAAGGGGATTACAAGAAAATACAAGATGCCATTGATGCGGTGCCGTCTAATAACGTGGATCTTGTGTTTATTAGGGTTAGGCCTGGAGTGTACGAAGAAAAAATTAGTGTGCCCGCTGACAAACCCTTCATTACAATAAGTGGCACAAAGGCAAACGACACCATAATAACATGGAACGACGGTGGGGAGATATTTGAATCTCCAACTTTCTCTGTTTTGGCTTCTGATTTTATAGGCCGGTATCTCACAATTCAGGTATGTTTAAAACGCATGAAATTATATCAGATAGTATTTTTTTTTTCTTGGTAACATCGACGCAACGAAGGAATTTTTTATATTTAATATAATAATGTTTAATTGTTCAATATTCATTGCAGAACACTTATGGAGCGGGTGGCAAAGCAGTGGCGCTAAGGGTGTCGGGAGATAGAGCAGCATTTTATGGGTGCAGAATATTGTCTTATCAGGACACCCTACTTGATGACACCGGCAGGCACTACTACAACAACTGTTATATTGAAGGAGCTACTGATTTTATATGTGGAAATGCTGCTTCTTTTTTTGAGGTAATTAACAAAAAATAATTTATTTATTTTTTGAGTTAATTTGGTAAAGGATTAGTATATAATTGGGTTTTAATTAAATTTGCAGAGGTGTCATTTGCATTCAATTTCGGGAGGAGCAGGAGCCATAACAGCTCAACGAAGGATGTCACCTTCAGAGGACACAGGGTTCACCTTCTTCAGCTGCAAAATCAGTGGCGTCAAAACGGCAATGTTAGGAAGACCGTGGGGTGGCTATTCAAGAGTCGTCTTTGCCTTCACTTACATGTCCAGTGCCATACTTCCACAAGGTTGGGACGACTGGGGAAACTCACCCGACCAATTAAGGTATTTTTGTTTTTGTTTTGTTTTTAGTTACGGTTTTAATTAATCCTTAATTTCTTACTCAAACGAACGAACTCTTCCTAATTTGGTTTTAATTTGATGATGTGTACCTACATAGTACGGTTTACTATGGGCAATATAGATGTTCTGGAGCTGGAGCTGCAACATCAAAAAGAGTTGAATGGGCACGTAACCTTACGAGTGAAGAAGCTGCACCCTTCTTAACCAAGGACTCCATCGATGGCAAAGCTTGGATAAGATCAGCCCCAACCAGCTTCAAGAAGAAAGCATTTTCTACTAAGACTTAATTCAATTCTCAATACTCAATTGTGTGGAAATGTGTGTTTAGTTTTATGAACAAATTATTTATTTGTAAAGTTATCTTATTATATCATGTATGTATATTGAAATTCATTCATTCATCTATTGACTCCAACACGTTATAGTGAAAAATTGTTAATTATATGGGGACACTGGACTGGAGGCATTTCTACTTCCTGTAAATCACATCTTGACATATATATGAAAATAATTATCTACACACATATCAAACTGTGATTGGAAAGAAAATAGGAGTTCCTACTTCCAAGGAAGGAGGAAAATATTTTCTTTCCATAGATTTCTTGCTTGTTTTATTGAAAGAAATAAAAAATTGCCAACTTTTCTTTTTCTTTTTCTGTTTTTTTCCCTTGGATTGGATTGGAATTTGAATGGATATATATGTTGTTCCATCCAAACTCGGAAATTAGAAATGACCATACCGACATATACTAAAAAGAAAGAAAGGGAAATAGGATTAATCTTGCTCAAGCTTCCGAAAAAGGTGACGGGACGCCTTTATTATATGCAAACCTGTGGGCTGATGCTGTATATTAATTGGCGTCTAGCTAGGCTGATACCAAAATATTCATTTTCTTGGGGATAAGAACAAAGTAAAGGATATACATGGTCCCAGCCATGAGCCAGCCAGCTGCAGTCACGCACACAATTGTTCCTGTGTATATAAAGACTAATTTGTGAATAAATTAATTTACAGCAAGTGAGGAAGTGTAGATTATTCACAGGATCAGGAAGAAGAGTAGAAAGTCATTTGTGTTTAGTTTCAAAGCAATCGGAGGAAATACATATATATATATATATCACACATGGGTTCACTCATGGCAGGATGGGACTCACCCGTTCTAAATTCCAAACCAGGTAAGGTAATCTCAATTTTGAATTAATCCATGGTATATGTATTGTGTTTGTCAATTCATTCACTCAAGCTTTCTTTCTATTTCTATTTCTATTTCTATTTCTTCAGATGTGTGCAAGAGGAATCAATCACTCACCAAGGACGAGATTGAAGCTTACTGGAGAGCCAACAATCAATTACATCATACCACCACTACTCAGGTTTGTGTAAATCCTTGTCAAGTTTCGCTTCTTTTTTCCTTTTCTTTTTTGTGGTAAAAACAAAAGAAAAAGAAAAGAAAAAGTTGGGTGCTTACTTTTGCATGACAGGAAATCAAAGCTGATGATGAATCGGGCAGAAAATTACAGAAATCAAACTCTTTTCCTGTAGCCAAAACTAAGGAGACAGATATTGATAAAACAAACGCTCACAAAATCAGAAACAACAAGGGCTGGTAAGCTCATCAACTTCTTAACCCACCCAATTAATTAATTAAAGAACAATTAGTAATTTTATGCTTCCTTCCTTCCTTCCATGATGATGGTGGTACAGGTGGACTTTAAGCAATTGGGCATTTCTGAACGAACCCCCTCTGTGGGAAGGCGCTTCCAACACGTACGCATCACAGTTCCACGTACCCAACTGGGCCCCCAAATCAGACACTCCTGACCAAATTACTACTTGATCTGTTCCTACCAGGCCCAAGTCTGCAAGCCCATATAGGCTCCTATGCCACTCACCTTTTTTCCTTTTCTTTTTTCGTATATGAGTTATGAGTTTGTTTGTTGTCGACTTGTCACGGTTGGTCGGTTGAGTGTTTCTATGACTTGTACAAATTATGAGATGATACTTTCATGTAAGCTGTGTTTTCTTTAGTGCTTTATTGTTGTGTTTTTCTGTTAAAAAAATCATATTTATGCAAGGTGTTATTAGAGCTCCGTGTTCGAATCTCTCTCTCTCGTTATATTTATGCTGAATTGCAGTGTTGGAAATGATTTTTGAGGACTAATAGACATTTTGTCTAAACTAGGCTGCTGGTTGAAAATGCTCTTACAATATTTGGTTGGAGTGAGCTTGAAGGTCGTTTTTTTATCAAATAAATGATTCTTTTGTAAGTAGTTGAATGCAAACAAACATGATCATCAAGGCATTCTTAGCCTTCACACTATAATCATGTTGCCTTTTCTAAATCCGTATTATTTGCAAGTGGTATGATAAAAATTGTGATCTTTATTGAATAAAAATATCACTCCAAGAAAGGAGCTGGGCCCTATTTTACACAATGATAATTTAATTCAATCCCTATTAATAAAAAATTATGAACGTTTACCGTGTTACCGGCACTGCAGGATTCATTCTAGAATGATAAAATGGAGAGAGTCCAGGTCTTGCCCTTCACCAACCCCCCTTTTAGAACATATAAAAGAGGGTAATGATGACTTTTCATGTAGCATTGTTGGCTTTTAAATGAAGCAAAATTATAGAGGACATGGATATCTCAACCAAAGTTAGTTGATGGTGGTGGGGGAGGATAATATTCTCCCAAAGTCGAATTAAAAAAAGTGGTGAACAGTCACAGCCACCATACGACTTCCACCTAGAAAGCATGATAGGTTATTGTATAATTTCCTCCATAAATTCTGCTCATGCGCAACCTCTCTGTTTATATCATAACTTGAAAACACAAAATTTTATAAAAGAAAAAGAAGAAGAGGAAGAATTTGATCATTCTAATTTGCAATGGCTGAGAGGAGCAAGGTTTTGATCATTGGAGGCACAGGCTACATTGGCAAGTTCATTGTTGAAGCCAGCGCAAAGGCTGGCCATCCAACCTTTGCTCTTGTCAGAGAGGCCACGGCCAACGACCCCGCCAAGTCCACCCTCATTCGCAATTTCAACAACTTGGGTGTCACTCTGCTCTACGTACGTTTATATTATTTAATACATCACTCTATGTTTGTGCTTAATTATGTTTAGTCACTTAATTATACATGGTAGTTAATTTCATAGCTGCGTTTGTTGTGCAATGTTTGTGCAGGGGGATCTTTATGACCATGAGAGCTTGGTGAAGGCGATCAAACAGGTGGACGTGGTGATATCAACTGTAGGTCACTTGGTACTTGCTGACCAGACCAAGATCATAGCTGCCATTAAAGAAGCTGGAAACGTCAAGGTTGGTTGGTACCTGCCTCTAAATTCTAATTGCAACTACTCAAACTCTCATATATGCGTTGCTCTAGTTAGTCAAGACCGTGAGTCCGTCTATTTGCATTTAATTTAATTAATTAGTATTTAATTGATGAATATATATGTTTTTTTATGCAGAGATTTTTTCCGTCGGAGTTTGGAAACGATGTGGATCGTGTGCATGCAGTGGAGCCAGCTAAGTCTGCATTTGCAATCAAAGTCCAAATCCGGCGCGCCATAGAGGCGGAGGGCATCCCCTACACTTACGTGTCCAGCAACTGCTTTGCTGGCTATTTTCTGCCCACTTTGGCACAGCCCGGCGTCAGTTCTCCACCCAGAGACAAAGTCATTATCTTAGGGGATGGAAATCCAAAGGGTGATTATCTCAGATTCCAATTGCGTTCACAAATTTTGGCACTCTTTTCTCTCTCTTTTTTCTTCTTTCTAATTTTTGTTTTTGTTGCTGCAGCTGTCTTCAACAAGGAAGAGGACATTGGAACTTATACCATCAGGGCCGTTGATGACCCAAGAACATTGAACAAGATTGTCTACATCAAGCCACCTGGAAACATTTACTCATTCAATGAGCTTGTTGCGTTGTGGGAGAAGAAGATTGGCAAAGTCCTTGAAAAGGTCTATGTTCCAGAGGACAAGCTTCTCCAGGACATTCAAGGTCAGTAATTTAAGGCAATGTTTGAAAACAATGACAAGTTTGCTGCCATTGGTGTTAGTTAATCTGTGACTAAATATTGTTGCAGAGGCCCCAATTCCAATCAATGTGATATTAGCAATCAACCACTCAGTGTTCGTGAAGGGAGATCATACCAACTTCGAGATCGAGCCATCGTTCGGAGTGGAGGCTTCTGAGCTGTACCCTGATGTCAAGTACACCCCTGTGGAAGACTACCTCGACCAATTTGTTTAGAAACTACTAAGACACTGCTGCTAAGCTGTTTCCTGAATTATCTCAGAACAATAATAATTTATTTTTAAGTACGTATTGTTGTTTGAGCGAAATGGAAAGTGTTTGTGCCGTACGAGTTTCCTGTCTTCTTAATATCAACACGAACCTGGATGGAGTTTGTTTGTGATGAAACATAAATCTACTTCTACATCAACAAAGTGTTTTATGCATTTACATTTGTGGTTGGTTCTGGTTTTTTGAGAGATGCCAAGCACTGTCGTTGCAATTTTTCGATGAAACCGTGACAGAACACCCATCACAAGCACAGAGATGGTTGTGGCATGGGTGGTCACATTTTTATTATGCACTATCCCTTATATTAGAAGCCTATTTACATTTGGTCGTTCGAATTGCAGCAAATTATGATGCCAAGTACCAACACAATTAATTGAGCCTTTTGTCTTGCTTAGGAGACAGCCCCAGTGTCAGCAACTCCCAACTAAGACAATGACAAAAACATCCATTATTCAATGTCTTTGCTCACATCACCAATGTTGTTTGGTCAGCTAAATTATGCTTTAATTTTCCTTGTACAACCTAACATCCCAGTAAACGAAATAAACAACAGTATACTTAAAAAACCAGCGCACTTGTTTTCCTTGCATTGACATGTCACATTTACATTGTTTCTCCGGGAGATAACCGGAGAGCGTCAAACCGAAAAGTCATGAGCTCTGTCTCGGAAGTAGCTTTCATGCATCAAGAAAAATCTAAACTAAAAATACTCTGGTCTTGAATTTTGTATAGTTTGGACAATTAGTCTGATGCACTCACGTTAACTTGAACTTGGTATTTTTGATCATCAATCTCAAAGATTCTAACAAGCCCTTTCCAATATTGGTTTCTCTAGCCTCCAAAGCTGGTTTCAGGTCTGAAGTTGGAGTTGGTGCAGGTGCTTCTGTGGTTGCTCTGCTTCTTTGATATCTCATGATTTCTATCATTCTTCTAGCCTTGATTCCTTCAATTTTCTCAACTGCCAAACATGAAGCAGAAGAGAAAGAGGTTACAAAAATCATTTCAAAGTGTCAAGATTTCAGAGCACAACTACAACAGTAAAACAAAATTTTCCATATCTCTCACTATTTCTTACCATTTGAATCCAAGTAGGGCTTTGAAGTCTCTGAGAGGAGAATGAGTGTGGGCGTGATGAGAGTGAGGGCAGCCCAGAAGAAGAATATCACAACGTAGGTTCTCCCACTCATTTGTTGCCCGTTTGGGGTGGAGGAAAAGCTGGTGGTTTAGTGGGAGGAAAATATTATGTTTTGAGGGTTTTAATGGAATGATCGGAAGTCAGAAAGAGGAAGAGAAAGGGAGAGAGAGAGAGAGAGGAGGGGAGAAGACTGAAATCATTAGCTGGCCATGCCCAAATAATTTTGAGATTATAAAATACAAAACTTATTTTCACATGAATTGTTTGATAAAACAAAGTCAAGTAATAACAAATTAACAACTACTTGCACAAGTGATTTCGTTGTTCAGTTGTTGGAGGGTTGTTATACCAATTAGGTGTACGAATTGGACATCTATCTGGCATCTCAAAGCCTAAGTAGTCAGAATCTCCCACAACCCACCTGGAAATGATTTTCCTAATCACAAGCACAACCCCCTTGCTTACGACCTCCATTTAATACCATGATAATAATAATATATGCTCAGAATCGCCATTCACTATAGCTCATGTAAATTTCTCAATTGCAAACATTTTTCTGTAATAAAAAGAGGGGTCTGCTAGAATAGGTCACCCGAATTTTGTTTCGTCAGCAAGCAAAGCAGAAGAAGAATTAAAATACAGGAAAATATCACAACACATTAAATCCTAACAGTCAGCAAAATTCAACATGTCGATGAACTTTGCAGAGTGTCAACGGTTAGTATGAAATTGTGTTGGTATTTTCTAAAACTTATTATAGGTTTGAAAGTGTCATTTAGTTAGATGGTTGAAGCAAAATTGTTGTATCTGATTTCTAAAAACTGCAGGATTGAAATAGCTCAGCAATCCCGAATTCCAGAATTGTGACTTAACACGTATGAGACATTTGATATAAAGGGTAAGACATGTTATTTTTTATGCACTCATAATAGGAACGTTTTTTGGAATCTAATATGATTTTATTTCCCTGATCTTCCTTGATTTTAATCAATTAGAATTCATCTAGGAGTGCATCTCATTTAGGCATACTTTGCAATATCTTTTATTTATTATTTCTTTCTTTCATTAATAAATCATTACTTATATTTTAAGTAAAATCATGTTTTTAATCATATCACATTATTAAAGGTGGTGTTATATTCTTGGTAACATGGAAAGTGTTCACAAAAACTAAAAACATTTACACTGCACTTTTCCTAAAATCTGGTACGTACCACCAAGTTTCAGTCTCTGTCACCACCACTTGCAAAGTTGCAAGTTGCAGCAGGCTTCTTCCGTGTACACGTACAAGCGCACTTTAGTTCATATACGCATCTGCACACTGCACAACAAACAATGTGTTTGTGACTGACTATCCTCACTACTCAAGTTATTTTCCATTCAGCTCTATCAAGAGCCAGTAAGTTACCCCATTATCCACCATGCGGCCATGCCTTTCCCCACACAATATATTTGGTCACTCTGTTCCTACTTTAGATACCCAAAAAACCAAAAAAAAAAAAAAAAAAAAAAAAAAAAAAAGGAAGTAAAAAAATTACACAATATATATATATACGACTAGCTTTGACAAAAGACGATCAAACATTTTGCTAATCACAAAAGACGATTTTTGTTATGGAAAATAAAACAGATTACAATGGTAGGTTTCATATCTAAATTCTAAGCGGATCTGTGCAAATTTCTAAACTTATTTACTAGTTGAGGTCGAAGTGATTTGTTCGTGTTTATCTGTTTCTGAATCCCAATTAAAAGAGGAAAAATATTTATTGTTTAAACTCTTAGCTCTGTGTGGAAACTTTTCCTAAATCCATAAGGGAGTTGAAAGGAGTAACCTGGCCAAAGCTTTGGCTACTTGAACTCCTAGCTCTGCATGGATTGCAACTCTATATATTCCTTACTTAGGACATGCAAAATCCTACGTATTATTATATTATTCGACATATATGACTAGTGGTATCAAGCTCTCTTTTGCCATGCTCTTCTTCTTGTTCTACGCTTTTATGGTGACGGGTGTGCTCTCTCAAGCACCCCCAACCCCACCAATTTCTCTAACCGTCGATCAGTCCGGCAATGGTGACTACACTAAAATACAAGACGCCATTGACGCCGTGCCGTCTAACAACGCCGCGCGTGTGTCTATTTTGGTTCGACCTGGTGTCTACCAAGAAAAAGTTCATGTGCCTGTAGACAAACCCTTTATAACAATGAGTGGCACAAACACAGAGCATACCATGATAACATGGAACCAAGCAGGATGGATAAATCAAACCTCAGTCTTCACTGTGTGGGCTTCTGATTTTATAGGGCGCCAACTCACAATTCAGGTATATATACAGTCTTGATTTTATAGACTACGAATTATATATATATATATATATATATATTGTTTGAACACATAATTAATTTTACTTAATTTGAATTGGTGAGTGCAGAATACATATGGAACCGGTGACAAAACAGTGGCGCTAAGAGTATCAGGAGACAGAGCAGCATTCTATGGGTGCAGAATTTTGTCTCATCAAGATGCCTTATTTGACGAGATTGGCAAGCACTACTACAAAGACTGCTACATTCAAGGAGACACTGATTTTATATTTGGAAGCGCTGATTCTTTATATGAGGTATACATCTACGTACCATTTAATTACTTCATTGTTAATTAAATATTAATTAGTATATAATGGAGATTAACTAAGTGATTAATTTGCAGAATTGTCACTTGCATACACTTTCGGGTCAAAACGGCGCTATTACGGCCCAACGGAGGACTTCTCCTTTAGAGGAATCTGGGTTCACCTTTTTGTGGTGCAACATCACCGGCGTCAAAACGGCACTCCTGGGAAGGCCATGGGGGCCATATGCCAGAGTCATATTTGCCTACACTCAAATGTCAAATGTAATTCTGCCACAAGGTTGGGACAGTTGGAGGCTATCACCCTACGACTTAAGGTATATATTTTTGAGTGCTTAATTTTTTAATTACTCTAATTTATTTTAATCTTTGATCGGTTTTGTAGTTTGGTTTTAATTTGATGTGTACGTGCTCATGCAGTAAGGTTTTCTATGGGGAATACAACTGTTTTGGACCGGGAGCCGTGACAACACGAAGAGTTAATTGGGCACACAAGCTTACCACCAGAGAATTTGCACCCTTCATGGCTCAGGCTAGTGCCCTTCGGCGTACGATAATTGGTCTTGACGGAGGAAGAGGGCAACATGTAGCTCCCACTATGGTTCGTCCCGGCAGCGGAGGAGGAGGTGGAGGAGAGCAACATGGAGCTTCCACTCCCATTGGAAGAGAAGGAAACAAAGCGAAGGAGAATGAGAGAAATAGACAAGGCGCTCCACCTCGAGCTCTCACTGCCACGCCCACTCCCATTGGAGGAGAAGCCGCTCCACCTCGAGGTCTCACTGGCCCGCCCCCTCCCATTGGAGGAGAAGGCACTCCACCTCTAGTTCTCACTGCCCCGCCCCCTCCCATTGGAGGAGAAGGCACTCCACCTCTAATTCTCACTGCCCCACCCCCTCTCATTGGAGGAGATGCCCCGCCCGCTCCCATTGGAGGAGAAGCCGCTCCACCTCGAGCTCTCACTGGCCCGCCCCCTCCCATTGGAGGAGAAGGCACTCCACCTCTAGTTCTCACTGCCCCGCCCCCTCCCATTGGAGGAGAAGGCACTCCACCTCTAATTCTCACTGCCCCACCCCCTCTCATTGGAGGAGAAGGCACTCCACCTCTAGTTCTCACTGCCCCACCCCCTCTCATTGGAGGAGATGCCCCGCCCGCTCCCATTGGAGGAGAAGCCGCTCCACCTCGAGCTCTCACTGCCCCGCCCCCTCCCATTGGAGGAGAAGGCACTCCACCTCTAGTTCTCACTGCCCCACCCCCTCTCATTGGAGGAGAAGGCACTCCACCTCCATCTCTCACTGCCACGCCCCCTCCCATTGGAGGAGAAGGAGAAGGAGAGGGAAACAAAGAGAAGGAAAATGGGAGAAATAGCCCAGAGCAGGCTCCCGCTTCCGCTGCATGGCTCATCATTGAGGGGTCGAATAATGATGTGGAACGGAGTAGTGGTTCTCCTCGAGTAGGTGCAGCCCGTCTAGGTCTTCTGGGGTCTTTTCTCTTTATATTTTTATAAGATTCTAATTCTAGATTTGTACAAACTTGTTTGTAAAGCCTTTTTTGAATAAACTCAACAGGTTTTGAAATTGAGTTTTATTTATTTATTTTTAGTTTTCTCTTCCATTGACCGAAGAAAAATCTTGTAATTTCTTGGACCACTTTGTGTTTTATATGGTGCCTGTGTGTTGCTCATACTAGTAGTTTCATTCGTTGCGATGATTTCTATCGTTCTTCTAGCCTTGATTCCTTCAGTTTTCTCACCTGCCAAACATAGCAGAAGAGAAGAGGTTACAATAATTTCAAAGTGTCAAGAAATCACAGCACAACTACACGGTGAAACAAAAATTTCATATCTCGCTATTTTCTTACCATTTGAATCTAAGTAGGGTTTTTGAAGTCTCTGAGAGGAAAATGAGTGTGGGGGTGATGAGAGTGAGGACAGTCAGAAGAAGAATATCTCCCACTCATTTGTTGCCCGTTTGGTGGGAGGCAAATATTATGTTTTGAGGGTTTTAATGGAATGATTGAAAGACAGAAAGAGGAAGAGAGAGAGAGAGAGAGAGAGAGAGGAGGGGAGAAGACCTGAACTCATAGCTGGCCATGCCCAAATAATTTTGAGATTATAAAATACAAAACTTATTTTCACATTAATTGTTCTTATGGTTTGATAAAACAAAGTCAAGTAATAACAACTTAACAACTACACTTGCACTTGTGATTTCGTTGTTCAGTTGTTGGAGGGTTGTTATACCAATTAGGTGTAGGATTTGGACATCTAGACTATCTGGCATCTCAAAGCCTAAGTCAGAATCTCCCACATCCCAACTGGAAATTTTTTATTAAGTGGTTTCGTCAGCAAGTAAAGCAGAAGAAGAAGGAAAATACAGGAAAATATCACGAAAACACAGATTCATGAAGAGTGAGAATATATATTTATGCAAGATAAGTTGCCACTGCACATTAAATCCTAATTGTATGCAAAATTCAACATATCTACGGATTTTCCAGAGTGTTAACATGGAAAGTGTTCAGAAAAACTAGAAACACTTGAACACTGCACTTCTCTCGTTCACTTTTCCTAAAAGCTGGTACCACCAAAGTTTCAGTCTGAACCACCACTACTTGTAGCAGGCTTCTTCCCTGTATACCTCTGTAAGAACCACCAAAGGGAACAAGTAAATATGTTGCACTTACAGAAACTCTCAAATAAAAAATAAAAATTTCAACCACAAATTTCATTTCAAAAGGTGTCGGCGGAGGGGAGGAGATGGTTTAAGAGTGGTGGCTGTTCGACATTCTAGAGCTCTCACCTGCTTCCCAATGCTGAATGGTATATATTTGTACTTAATCATGTGCAGAATTTGGCGCTTCATTGTAAGAACAAAAAGAACAATCCAATAACACAGGAGAATGGGCCAGAAAACAGGGACATCAAATATGGAAAAGAAGGTCATCAGAAATGCCACACAGAAAGCCTTTGTAATGGAATACCTGAAACCACATAAGCAAAAGAATAAATCATCGATTCTCAATTAGTAGTCGTAAAAGCCCACCAAACACATACCAACAAACACATACACGCACACTTTAGTTGCATACATGTATGAGCCCACTGCACAGCAAACAATGTGTTTGTACAATGACTATCCTCAAATCAACAAAGAACCATCTTCACTACTGAAGTCATTCCATGCCTTAACCCACAAAATATATTTGGTCATTCTGTTGTTCCTGAGGTGCAATCAGCTGAAAGTAAATGATAAACAATCACGTTGACTTATCAGGCTTCCTACAAAGTTCACACTTCTTCCATTCTATATAAGTAAACACCTTTTAAATACGTACACATAAGTAACCAAACATTTTAAATTAGCCATAAACCTAAAGTCATCATAAAAAAAAAAAAAAAAAAAAAAAAAAAAAAAAAAAAAAAAAAAAAAGGAAGAAAAAAAAAAATTCCTATATAATAATAACTAGATTTGACAAGGGAAGTTCTTCAATTACCAGAACTTGAACTCGGGTAGCCGGCGGATGAATGGCTTAAACTCATCTGAACCTCTTGTTGGCAGTGAAGCCCCATCCAAGGCTTCAAGCTCTGGATCAACCTTTGGTGAGAGAAACCCAATCAATAGATTCAAGATATAGATTCCCAGGCCATACGACACAATGTAAAACCCTTGAACATAGTAAACTCGGAGCACATAAATGGCTGCTACAGCAAGAGTCCCCAGCCACCTATAGACAGGGTTAGGGGTCGAACGGTCCAAATAGTACTGAAATGTCCTTGAAAACTCGTCTCTCCACTTGGCAAACGGCGCCACAGCAGAGCCAGCATCAGCCCCCACTCCTTCCATGAAATATTACCCCCTAATTTCCTGAGAATCCAAACGAAGCAATAGTTTAATTTAAAATATTACACTTGGTCTGGTTTCTAAAAATCATTTACGTATGCAAAAACCAGATTGAATGCATGGCCAAACAGTTCAACTCACGCATATATTAATGGAAAATCTCACCTAGCTCCCAAGTAAATAAATAATTTCTGGAACATAACTAATTCGGAAAACAAAACCCTAACTAATCTCTCAAACCCATTCTGTGTTCAAACATTTTTCTAATCACAAAAGACGATTTCTTCATAGAAAATAAAAGATATTACAAAGGTAGGTTTGATTATAATGCCAACAAATCCAACAATTTAGTCTAATTTAGAGAAATCGAGGGAGGGACAGATAGAAGACAGCTTTACCTCGATGAAAAGCGAAGTACCAGAGGAGAGAATCTATTTTTTATATCTAAATTCTAAGCGGATCTGTGTAAATTTCTAAACTTATTTACTAGTTGAGGACGAAGCGATTTGTTCGTGTTTATCTGTTTCTGTTTTTCCAGAAACGGAGGAAAACCAGGAAGGGGAAGAACCTCGCACGCAGTCTCCAATTGCGCCCGCGCGGTTAAAGGCGCCGAAACGCACCGCATAGTGCCCGACTCATTAACCGCTTCGTGCCTGACTCATTAACCGCGTCTTTGAAAGGCCATTTGGTTTATCGGCTAATTAAATGGAAACGCGGGGATGTTTTAGTAATTTCAAAACCGGGGTATGAAAATCCTATTCTACCCTCCCAATGCTTCGAGATATTCTACCCTACCCCTTCCAATTTGGGCCATTTCCTTGTTTCTCCGGCCTGCTTCACATCAGGCATACACAGAGACTCAGAGACTCAGAGAAAGTGGCAGTGAGTGGAGCTGTTGGTAGCTGGTGGAAGTGACAAGAAGATGGGGACTTTAGGAAGAGTAATATACACCGTCGGATTCTGGATTAGGGAGACAGGTCAGGCAGTTGATCGCCTCGGCAGCCGCCTCCAAGGCAGCTACTACTTCAAAGAGCAGCGTACGTCTGGCCTTTTCCTAACCCTAGATCCATCCTTATGTTAACCTTTGAATTTCGGATTGAATTTTTGTTTATTAATTTATGGTCTGTTTGGTTCTCTTTTCGGGTTGATTTAAACATCGCAGCTGTAGAATTAGTATAAAGTCTATGGCTTTGCTTTCAGTTTTACCTGATTGTTTTACATTGCCACTTTGCTTCTAGTTCCTGGACTATTGTTGGTCGGTTACGGATATTGTCTTAAATGTAAGAATGTGTGTCACTGCCCACTAGTGGATTACTATCAAGCTAGTATTAATTTAAAAATTAGTTAAATGGGCATTCGTGGAATCGTGAAATATTTATCATTTTTGTAAAATCTAGAAAGAGGAGGAACTAAAATAATGAAAATGGACAAATTTATAATCTGCATCCGTAGTTTAGCTCACCTATTTTGAAAAGCTAATATGTTGTAGCATAACATGTCCTTCGTTTGTTTACATGTAAGATTCAGGTTTCTCTGGTTTTGCTTTCTTTTTTCCATGCAAGCGGGTAGTTATTATGTTCTTTCCTGTAGTGTCTCGGCATCGGACTCTGATGAACATATTCGACAAAGCTCCTGTGGTTGACAAGGATGTATTTGTGGCCCCAAGTGCCTCTGTCATTGGCGATGTTCAAGTGGGAAGAGGGTCTTCTATTTGGTATGGATGTGTTTTGAGAGGTAAGAACTCCTTTTGAGGCACAGTAATAAACGACATATGCATGATTTTCTAATTACTGTGGGACTTTTGGAAAACAAAAGTACATTCTCCCTATGCTGCTTCTTTTTTGTCGATGAGCTGATGATCTGGGCATCATATGTAGAACCTCTTTATTCTTTTTCATTTGTTAGGTTATACATACATATGTTGCTGATAACCTCTTTGCATGTTTGTTTAAATTGTTACTGATGCACTTTGCATAATCCGTGGAGTTTTATATCAAATGATCTTCAGGAAAGACGATCAATTTGGAGATGAAACTAGAAATAGGCTTCAGCTTATTACTTACCTTTAATTGGGGGAATATGCAGTGTCAGCTGTTCTTGTTTGTCTTTCTCGTAGTTTAAAATTTATACATTTGTGTCCTGTTTCTCATTTTAAATGGAGGTTAGCAATGATAAGAGTAGTGCCTGCCTTTGAAATTGTCTACTTAAAGTTTTATATCAAATGATCTTCAGGCAAGACGATCAATTTGGAGATGAAACTAGAAATAGACTTCAGCTTATTACTTACCTTTAATTGGGGGAATATGCAGTGTCAGCTGTTCTTGTTTGTCTTTCTCGTAGTTTAAAATTTATACATTTGTGTCCTGTTTCTCATTTTAAATGGAGGTTAGCAATGATAAGAGTAGTGCCTGCCTTTGAAATTGTCTACTTAAAGTTATTGAACTAGTTTACCATGTAGTTGGTAGTTTTATAGCGTGGTAACTGGTTAGATATAGGACCTCACCAACATGTAGTCGATTTATTGTCTGTGGAAAATTCTGGTTTGTTGTCTATTTAGCAAGATGGATATAAGTTGTTTTGGTCTATGGAAAATTTTGGGGAATATTTATAGTGGATTTTGGTGGTAATTTGTAAAATTTATTTGCACGCAGGTGATGTGAACAACATCGTTGTTGGATCTGGAACTAACATACAGGACAACTCCCTAGTCCATGTGGCTAAGTCTAATTTAAGTGGGAAGGTGTTACCAACCATTATTGGGGACAATGTTACTGTAGGTGAGTTATTATGCTGTCGGAGATATGTTTTGTTTGAATTAGCCTGATGGTAGTCTGATTAATTTTCTATAAATTGTGAAACAAAAATTTGCATTGAGCAGGTCACAGTGCTGTTATACATGGCTGTACTGTTGAGGATGAGGCCTTTGTTGGTATGGGAGCCACATTGCTTGATGGTGTTGTTGTTGAGAAACATGCCATGGTCGCTGCTGGAGCCCTGGTGAGACAGAATACAAGGATCCCCAGTGGAGAGGTATGTTTAAAATCCCTTCTACTGACCCTCTTTATCTATGTATTTGCAAAAAATATTGGAAGTCTTAACAAGCATGCAAAAGAAGTAGCTGAGATTTTGGATCTATTGCAGTTATCACTATCCAGATCACTGACCCTGAACGTGTTTTACTTTGTTTTCAAAAGAATAAACAAAAAAATGTGAAATTCTATGAGTTATGATTGTGCCTGGACAAAGTTAAGAATTCCATACGGCCTTACTTCTATCAAAACGGCCTTGTTATATTCTAACATCTAGTTAAGAACTCTATTGAATGCACAAGCTTAACCCAATTATACCATGTTCAAGGAGGGTGACATAAAGTGACACAGGGATGAATGGTGTGGGAGTCTATGTTCTTTTTTTAACCATTCTCATGACCTGCCGCCAGTGATCAAAATTTCAAAATTTACAGATTCTGGTTAAAGAAGTTGAGTTATACTAGCAAAATTTTTGTTCTTTGATGTCCATTTTAGAAATAAATGGGGAGGTATATAAATTATTTTGATATCTGGCGGTTGAGCAATCCTGTTACAATTAAAACATAGGTACTGCGTAAAAACAAAACCCTTATTAATGTTTTTACCGAGCTGGAAATAGTATGTTACGATTTCAATTCAGCTTTATCCAGCCGGGCTAAAGTTGGGCTTTCCTTTCTGGCAGCTAATAGAAAGCAATAAAATACATTTGTGAAATATATATTGCAGGTATGGGGAGGTAATCCAGCAAAATTCCTGAGGAAGCTCACAGATGAGGAAAAAGCCTTCATCTCCCAGTCAGCCACCAATTATACCAACCTTGCACAAGTCCATGCAGCTGAGAATGGGAAGTCCTTTGATGAGATCGAGTTTGAGAAGGTCCTCCGTAAGAAGTTTGCTCGACGGGATGAGGAGTATGACTCAATGCTGGGTGTTGTTCGTGAAATTCCCCCAGAACTTATTCTTCCGGATAATGTATTACCAGATAAAGCACCAAAGGACCAAAAATGATTTCATTAGTTGTTTTGTTTTTCCTCCTTCAACTCAAATCTTGAGAGATTTGGCGTCCAGGAATATTTGTTGTTAAGTGCAAATACATGGAAAAGGTACATTTCCTTTCCCAATAATACCCGACATGTTTTAGGGGCAGAACTATGAGTCTTTTCTAGCCATTGGATCTACTCTTTCCGCGTTTTTTTGTTCGGAAACAATATTTTCTGCTTTGGCAGTTTGTATGTTGATGATGTTTTTTATTTCTTTCTTGTATCCAAGGTACCTAGTTTCTCGATGACTTGGTTGATTTGCACACCCATCTATCTAGTGATGACTCATATTACGGCATAACATGACACATCTCTTCCTGCAAGCTAAAATTTGGCACTGCTATTTTGTTTCTTGGTCATTCTAACGTCCCTCGCATGAAATGAAAGATTATACTCAAATAGACGACACAGGAGAAGATGAAATAACAGAGATGTGGTTTGAGAGCCTCTTGTAAAAGCAAGTTATTCCATCCAACAGCAACCTTTCAGATGCATAAGCTGACCAGCTAAAACCCTAATCCCAAGCCTGCTAGCCTAGGCACTAAGGCAGCCACACACATGCATGATTATATTTTTTTTTTGGGGGTTCGTGCAGGAAGGAATGGTGTCGAAGCAAAACTTGCGCCATTAATTTTGCATAAAAATTTACGGATAAAGACATGTAGATGACACGGAAATAATGCAGATTGCAGATAAAGTTGTGGGTATATTGTATTGTATTGTTTATGCTCCATTGTCGAATCTTTTTGGAAACAATTATTGGCTGATCGGATCTTAGAAAGCTGAAATCCGTGATTTCAGTTCAAAGTGAAAGAAAAAGCTGTCCCACCAATCATTCAATTGAATTAATGAGGAATTCGTCCAAACTGCTGTTTGTTTCTTCGTTTTCATTTTGGAAAAAAGAAAATTTCCATTGGATCTGGCCAGTTGCTTCAAGCCTCACCATTAGCTAATTTAGCTTATACCTCCTAGCTAGCCTCCTGTGCCTACGGTTTGAAAGTTTGTTTGCGTGTATGCACAAACACACAAATACAAACCGTACACCTTTTCTCCTTAAAACACGGAGAAATGCGTATAAAACATGTTGCATGGAAATTTTATCCACTTCGGACGCTAAACCGGATTTATGATGTGATGTAACATCTGTCATTTGGATGGGTGGTGGTGTAGGGAAGCCCCGCGCCTATTAAAACAAAACAACACAACCAGTACATGTGATTTGATTCTTCACTATTTTTAGTTTCGTTTTGAATCATACGTTGCTATTCTGGTCTAGTATTAGATAAACCCAGTTCTTTCTGAAAATGGTGTACATCTCTTCTCAACTCTAGTTCATGAATTATGAACATTATTACCATATACAGAGTAGAAACTTGGAATATATAATGCTTTTGGCTTCCAGACTTTCATTACAGGAACATCATGATCAGAAGGACTTCAAATCTTTTAGTTAAGAACAATATAATACAGAATCTCCGCCATAATGATAGACCCTACCCTCCGTATAAAAAAAAGGATAGACCCTATCCTACTCTTTCCGTCCAAGGAATAATAAAGGGCCCACTTTGTATAGAAATAAAATCTAATAATATTCTAGAATTAAAAAAGATAATGGGTAGTTATGTTCCATGAAAATAGGATCCATTATTTTATTTTATTTTTTTAATATAAAAATTTATGAATTTACCATATTATCCTCATTTAATTAATAATTTCAAGAGCATTTTTGCATTAACCAAGAGAATTTTCTAGTATTTTGAATGTTTTACTATTCTCATGTTATTGCTTTATATATATATATGAAAAATTAGGATATGTTAACGAAAAATTAGCATGCGTCGTAATAAAAGAGAATTAAACAACTTTAATTTTATAGATCTCTGTTATAATTAAGGAGTGATGTTATTTCCACATCTCTGTCTTATTTCCCCATTCGTTTTATTTTCAAATTTTTAAAGACAGATTTACCCTTTTATAAAATGACTTCTAAGGACTTAAACCCAACCCCTCCCTCCCTCGCACTTTTCTTCATTCATGCCGCCACTTGAGGACGGGGTATATGTAAATTATAGCTCCTGAAGTATCTCTACTATTGGAACAAGATGGTCATTCTAAATTCTAATATGACGTCGGTTTCTTTTAGGTGTATCTCTCAGGTGGTCATTTGGAAACTAAAAGTGATGGAGGGAACATCATTTTATCGCAAAGGTACAAATTGCATTGGATTATTTCTATTTATTATCATGGAAGTGGAATTCCTGGATGAAAGAAATAATGATACATTAAATAATGGTTCTGGTATTTGCAATCGTTACCTGTCTATAAATCGTTAACAGTATCAAGCCAAGGAAATAGAGGATCTTAATGCATTAATGCGTACAAATGGGGTTGAAGGCTTGAAGCATGCCTTGAATGAAAGCAAGGGGCATGCTGTAGGGACATGGGTCTAAACTAAAGGGAGTGTCTTTTGGGATTTTTTCTGGAATTGTGATTGAAGAAGAAGAATAGGAAGAGGTTGTTGGGTTGGTTTGGGTTATCTTTTTTAATTTTTTGCTTTATTTTTTAGTTTTGTTTGAATTAATAATTAATGGATATTTTAGGAATAATATTGTGCAGAAATATAAGATTGTGTTTTTTCAAATTTACATAATGAGTGGAAATAACAGCACTGTAATTAAAAAAGATAACAACAAAATATGAAAAACAAAAATTCGTCAATATATATAAATTTGTAAAAATAATAAAAGAAGTCCTGAATTTGAGGGCAATTTAGGGAGTTAAAAAAAAACAAGAACAAGAACAAGGGTGTAGGCCCCGCTCAGGCTTTGGACTGGACCTGTAACCTTGCAACTTGCAAACGGCGCCTCCCCTGCTTTGGTTGCAGAGTCTATAAATACATGACATCGACAAACTTCAAGTGTGAAGAGAGAGCGAGAGCAAAGTCCCAATTCCCAAAGACCAGAGCCAGAGGGCCGAAAATGGGAGCAGAAGCCTTGCCCGTCACCGCCAACTCCAACAATAACTGCAGCGGAGGCGAGGCTCCTCTGGTATTGGGACTACAGGCATCCGCCCTCGTCGACCATGTGGCCCGCGTCGATTGGTCCTTGCTCGATCAACTCCCAGGCGAGCGCGGTGGCTCCATTCCTGTAACCCCTTTATGACTTTATAGCTTCTGCCTTCTTTTTTCTTGTTTTTAGCTACTTGGGTTTTGCCAATTTTGGATGGTTTATTGCTTTTATGCCCAATTTGGAATTCACGGGTTTGTTAGTTAGCTAGTACATAGCATTCATTGATATCAAATGAGTTTGGTGGTGGGTATTTAATGTTGCTCTGTATTCTCTGTGCAAGCAAAAAGTTAAAGACTTTAGCTTTTGTCACATACTGTATGGTGTAGGTTGCAATTGAAGAGCTTGAGCACATACTGGGTGAGGTGAAGACCCATATTATCTCATCCCCTGATGATTCCTTGCCCATGAAAACAATAGCCGGGGGCAGTGTAGCCAATACTATCAGAGGGCTGAGTGCTGGGTTTGGAATCTCCTGTGGAATAATTGGTGCCTGTGGGGATGATGAGCAAGGCCAGTTATTTGTCAGTAACATGAGCTCTCATGCTGTGAGCCTCTCAAGATTGAGGATGAAGAAGGGACCCACAGCTCAGGTTTAGCTAAATATCGCTTTTTTTTTCGGCATTTGAACATTTAGCTTATAGATGTTAGGTGCTGAAGCATTGTAAGTAATTGATGTCATACAGTGCGTTTGCTTGGTTGATGCCTTGGGCAATCGTACAATGCGTCCCTGTCTCTCAAGTGCTGTGAAACTTCACCCTCAGGTGCATGACTCTTTCTATGTCCATATATGCATGCATATCTGCATGTCTGTGTGCATGCTTGTGTGTGTGCGTGTGTGGTGTGTGCCTGAGCTCTTTGACAATTTCTTCGAATGAGCTTACAAAGAATTATTAGAATTATGTTATTCAGGCAGATGACTTGACAAGAGCGGATTTTAAGGGGTGTAAGGTTAGTTTCTTCTCTACTTGCTAAAATTTAAGTTTTACTCCAACAAAGTGTAATACCATAATGCGCTTTAGACACACAATCATGTGTGAAACTTTGACCTCGGAATCAGTAATAGAGTTCATGCCATAAACTTGAAATGTTTGGAAAATTTGTAGCCCTGTAGATACAACTGTTGATATCTCTTTTTTCTTGCAGTGGCTGTTGTTGAGGTATGGTATTATCAATTTGGAAGTGATTCAAGCTGCTATACGGATTGCCAAACAAGAGGGTCTTTTCGTGTCCATGGACTTGGCCAGCTTTGAGGTACGAGTTTTTCTTTTCTTTGGTTGAGATTCTTTCATTTGGAACAATGGACTTCTCCAAATTTTCTTTTGAAACTAGTTAAGTTTGAGAATGAATAATTTAAACTTGTATGATAAGAGTATATTTTCCTGCTACATTCTTTTTTTTCTTTTTTGGGATAAAGCCCAATCAACCAACAAACAAGAGACTAACGGAGAATACCAGTCTAGAAAACCCTATATAAATGGGGCTATCTAAGATAGTACAGCCAAGATCGAAGTCCATTCCAGAGCTAGCTAAAGCATCTGCTACGATAGTTATCTCCCTGTAAATATACTTAAGGCCACACGACCAATCCCTTTAAAGAAACTCCTGCTACATTTTATGTGATATCAAACTTGTTTCTTTAATCTCAATCCTGCTGCAACCGCATTGATGTAGAATCTTGTGTTTGCTAGCAAAGTGAAAACGCACTTTTCTGTTTGGCCTTTAACCTTTCTTTTTTTTTCCCCTTCTTGCGGCTGTTTAATATCAAATTTTAGGTCTCTGTCTATTATCTTATATAGTCTTTAACATTACCCAGATGGTTCGCAACTTTAGATCACCTCTTCTGCAGTTGCTGGAGTCAGGGGGCATAGACCTCTGCTTTGCTAATGAGGATGAAGCAACAGAGTTGCTAAGGTGGCTTTCATTTGGTTGGAATTGTAACATGTTGAACTGTTCACCCAGTTTTGATGAAATAAAGTTGACTCTACTAATACTTGAGGAAAAATGTTTTACTTTTCTTCTACCATTAGGCACCAATTTGGCAGATGTTCTCTTTTCTATTTTTCTCTTTTGGGAGCCGAAGTTGTAATATGGTGTTTAATTTCTCTTATAGATGCACTGAGGGTGAACAAAAAGCTGATCCTGAGGCTGCACTTGAATTTCTGGCAAAACATTGCCGGTGGGCAGTGGTGACGTTAGGCCCCAATGGATGCATTGCAAAGCACGGAAAAGAGGTCAGTAACTTAGTAACAATTTTCTCAGTGTTATATTTATAAAGTTGATTAACAAGGGTATGTTATAAAAATTTTGGTTTAATATGTCAGATTGTGAGAGTTCCAGCCATAGGGAAAGCCAATGCAGTGGATGCCACAGGAGCAGGAGACCTGTTTGCAAGTGGATTTTTGTATGGATTGGTGAAGGGACTATCTCTGGAGGAATGCTGCAAAGTGGGATCATGCAGTGGCGGATCTGTTATTCGCTCTCTCGGGGGCGAGGTCACCCCTGAGAATTGGCAATGGATGTACAAGCAGATGCAGACCAAGGGCCTCACTCTTCCTGATATCCCCAAATGATTTTTAAAATTTTTGTTATTTTATCAGAGAAGTGATTATTTTGAATTCCATGGCTACTAGTCCTCTATATATCTTTTAAAAACAAGGGGCAGCTATGGTTGCGTTCTGAGGCTGACTGGACTACCGCATACGATAGAGAATATGAGGAGTGGATCCTGAATAGTTCGAGGCTTTATGCGCTTGAATGGTTTGTGTTGGTTTGCTATGTTTAGTGATTTTGCAAATTTTTAACCGTTATCATAATGTTGCCTTCTCTTTCATCTTTTTTCTGTTTTTCTCTCCCCGGGGTTGAACAAGTGCCGAACGACCACTTAAAATTTCAATAATGGAATTTGAAATCAATTGTAATAGCATTATAATTAATTGGTTAAATTTAAAATTGAAAGTAAAGCAAAGAGTGTTTACCTCTACACCGGACTTTATATGTTTGACTCTCTTACCCTATACTGCTTGTATAAAAAAATTATTGAAAAAAAGAACTTGAAAAGTGATGGCAATGCCACATTTCTTAAGCAAACCACATTTTTTCTCTTAAAATCTGTCACAAATAATGCTAACGAGTAAACTACCACTACTTGGTGAAGCGAGAAGCAGTTACTTGAGAACGGAACTTCACTAGTGTGACAAATGCTACGTAGACCGAGTCAAATGTTTTTGTGTAGCTCGAAAACCTTGTGGATGCACGAAATATAAATTGTTTGCGGATGAACTTAAGTTGCAGAGCTCGCAAGATTTTTGTCTGTTATAACATTAAGATACCCCAGGCATCAGTGTTACGTTAGCCCATACACGGGTGCATCCAGAAGTAAACCATTCCATAACAATGTATAACAAGGTTGGGCATAATCAATGAGTTCAATCTATCTCAACGGTAGCTATTGAATGTAAAGTTCATCTAACCAGAGGCCACCGTCAAAATGTTCTTGCTAATGAGGCAGGTAACTTGCATAACCTTGTAAAGTTGTAAGAGAAAAGAAAAAGAAAGGGCAAAGGTTCAACAATAAATTGTTATCTTATACAATACCATCCATACTCTTAAGAAACACATGCTAGAAAACCTCACTGAAAAGGTGGAAAGACAACTGATTCTAGCATCCTCAAATATCCATTGGAGCTACATCTGGTTCAGCAACAGCACCCTGGCCAGCACCATCACCAGCACCAGCTCCCTCTTCTGCAGCTGCTCCAGGCTCAGTAGCAACATCGGGTTCAGCAGCAGGAGGCTCGTCCTGCCCCACAATCTCAAATGCATCAATCAACTTCTGAACAGTGTCCTGATCCAATATATGGAAAGGCTCCTCGACTCCTACCACAGCAATTGTGCATATGGAACTTCTCAGTTTTTCTCCCTGCAAGGTTTCCCTTGTCGCAATGAGGGCATCCTTGATCAGATCCTCCCGTGAAGAGTTCGTGAAGTTCTCAAACCTGCGTTCCAAGTATGTCTTAGCAGCTTGTGAGCGAGATCCTATTGCAAAAGCCTGGTATTCAAAGTAGTTTCCACTCGGACAGTTATAATATAGGTGTGCTCCAGACTCATCCAAACCACCTACTAGTAGTCCAACACCGTATGGCCGTTTCCATGAGCGTTGAGTACAGACCTGAGATGAGGAAACATCTCTAAATGGACATACAAATAAACAGTGGTATACATGTAGAAGATAATTGATTAGAAAGACCAAACGTAAATATTGAAGAGACATCAACCAAACATTAAGATTGAAGAGACATCAACCAAATGATAAAATTGAAGAGACATCAAAAAGATTGGTTGCTCTTTTTGTGGCGGTTCTGCACAGTTTTGTTTCAAATCAGTAGGATTCAAGGGACAAATAGATTCAGCATATAATAATACCAAAAGACCAATCCTCAAGCTAACATGACTGATTTCAAAACACAGCAAAATTAAAAATTTTCAATTCCTGAAGAATCTCAGGGTTGCCCGTAGTTCAACTTCAACTTATTAAGAGGTCACTGAAATGCAAATTGTGATGAACTTGACATTATATTATCATTTAATAAGCAAAATATGCCAACTAATATGATCTTACCACCATTCTTCTGAATTCATCAATTTGTACTCTTGTGGACCATCCACATTAGAATGCCACAAAGTTAAAGCTTAGGAGATTTGAGCTGAAGTCATGTATTGTATGTTTCATAAAGCTGTGTGATGAAGGCAGAAAATCTAACTACAAAGTTCAAAAATTGTAATATAGAAGATACATGTGCCCACGTGAGTATATGTACCACAGACAGAGAAAGAGAGAGTGTGAGATGGAGAGAGAGTTCTTGTCTCAGTATACAGTGTGCAACGCAAATAAAATACACCTTTTTGATAAGTCGTATTAATGCACAATACACAGAAATAAAACTTCAAAAGTTCACCAAGCCTACTAACCTACAAACAATAGCTATATCTCTAAAAAAACAAGCCTACTTATTAATTATTGGCGAAATGGGATCCAGAAACAAATAAGACAATATGGAACCCTTAATGTATATTAACTATTCAATCCAAACTCTTCCACACACACATTTCCCAGGCAAGTCCATTCTACACCTTTCCAGTAAATCCTCAATTTCATTTTCCTTTCTCACTCAAGTTAATTTACTTTGCTTGGGTAATTTACTGACAGAAGCAACTAGAGTGTGTCAATTATTTCCTAAAGGTTCTGAAATACCAGCACTCAATGAAAGAAAAGAAAACAATTTGAAGTCACATTAACAACACAATCTAAACCCCAATAGCTTATCCTATCCACCCCTCCTCCAAAAAAACCTTACTTCAACATATGCTACTCAAAGAAATTTGATTTTTAACTTCGCATGATTGATACCCAAGGAGACCTATGACACAAGGGAACCGTAAGTAGCTAACTATATTGTTAAAACCCTAGCCCAACCACTCATTTCCTTTGTTAGCAATCCTAGGGTTCTAAATCTTTGGTTTCCCAGTAAACCCATCCCTCAACTTGGACTAAGGCGCCATACTTGATTGAGTTGAAAGGAAGTCTACAATTCTACTGGAAAAAAATGAAACACCAAATTCATATACCAATTTTCCTTCTTTGAGTCTCAATTTCCCAGAAACCCTGAGAAAAGGAATAAATTTCCCACAGCCCCACCTCCAGCAAAGCCCTAACCCCCAATTTCCCAATCCAACAACCCAAGTCACAAAACCCACTCAAACAAAACCATGAATTTACAGAAATGAGCAACAGAAACAGATTCAAAATTAGGGCTTGAGTACGCAACACACCTGAGCCTTATCGGCAAGCTGAACGACCAGTCGTCCGACAGGGAGCGGAGATTCATAAGTGTAGTTGTAGTTGATGCACTCCGATCGCATATATCGAGAGAGGACACGACCGTCGGCGGTGAGGCCGGCAATGGCGACGCCGATGTGGTCGTCGACCTTGAAAATCTTCTTCTGATGAGAAGAAAGCTCGGAGTTGGCCTTGTTGACACAGGCAAGCACCACGTGGGTCTTGGATCGGAGCCCAATAGCCGCCGAGCCTTGCTTCACGGCCTCCATCGCGTACTCCACCTGGAAAAGCCGCCCGGCTGGGCTCCATGTCGTCACATCTGTGTCGTACTGGTTTCTGAACATCTTTACGGCGTCGTTTCTTCTCTCTTGGCACAAATAAACAGAGACTGCCCTTAACTTGCTGAAAACCTCTGGGTTTTTTTATCGAGCTTTTCTTTTTGTTCAAGGCAAGTGAGACTGTGACTCTCCTCTGGTGGGCAAAGCGAAAGAGGGGTTTTTGTGTTTTCTTTTCTCTTGCTCGTACTTGGTTAAAACATAATAAATAATAATGAAAATGAAACAACAATGTCTAGTCCAGTTAAGCCCAAAATGTAAAGTAAGTCCATGGGCTACCAGTCCCGTTAGGCCTTGTTTGGTGGCCCATCTTGAATTTGATTGGAATTGAGTCCAAGCTATTCTTTATGTGTCTCAAATAATTCTATGGTAAGGGTCTTATATATAACTCTTAGGTGAGGTCATATTTCTTTACCGTTTGATCAAATTGGTTAGCTTTATCTAACAGTTAAGAGATAGGACCTTACCTAAGAGCCACATATAAGGCCCTCACTATAGAATGAGTCGTTGAGTTTCACCTCTTTATGTAGGACTTGTAAAGAACAATACGTTAGATCGTGTCCAGTTTAATGAACCCACTCCCAGCATACCAAATAACAGCCACATTTTTGTTATATTTTAATTGAAATAGTACATTCTCATTCACCAAACATGACTTTAATGAATTAGGAGGGCATGGTTTTGGTTTCATTACATTTCCTCCAGGATAGGGGATTTTGTTTTTGATTTGTGAAATTCCATCAACAAAGCCTGCTCTACTGAGTTGGGAGTCACTAAGCTAAAAGCAAAAGCGAAAGGGGAAAAAGGCACAAAATATCTAAGCTAATGCTAATGGAGAGCCTTATGATAATCACATGCTTTATATAATACAGGGTTGTTTACTAGTTGTCAGCAGGATATTACTTGAAACTTTTGCACATGGACGTGCATGTTGGGCACAGATGATGCGCTTTTATACAAAGTAAAAGGTGAGTAGAATCGTTAAATGTAGGGTTTTAAGTAATTGAACATTTTAATCGGTTTACGTTTTCATCTTGTAAATTAAGATAACCATTCATATGCGTAATCGTTCACAAACTGAACACATATTTGTGAAAAAGGAGAGAATGAATTTGTGGATCACGCACATGACATCCCCCATTGGCGTTGCTTGGCTTGTAGACATGACCGTTAGATTCCAGTCATATTCAAATGATTGCTTGTACTACTAGTACGCAAATAACCGTTGGATTTTATAGTCACATTCAAATGAATAATGAAAGCCAATTAGAAGGAAATTGTGCTTTTGTATCCATCATTTCATTCTTGTTTATAAATCAACAAAAAAGTCCGAGTTTCATTGATTGCTGAATTATAAGGCATCCTACAGCTATTCACTTTTAGAATAACTAGTGTGGTATTCTCTGCCTGCAACAATGACTTCTTTCTTTATGGGATATGCTTAGTTGTTGATAACTTGTGGACCTAAAATACTAAAAAGTTATTTAAATATTTGAATTATTGGGAGTTTCTTTGCCCTTTTTCATTCTTTTTCCTTGATATTATTGGTTTTGGGAGGTGCATCGAATGTTCTACATGGATCATCCAACTCCCCAAGTTGCCTCTTAATTTAATAAGTCACAATTGAATGTTTACACAATATATATTTCTTAGTGTGGGCATCTTCTAATTTCATTATCAAAACGAGGTCAGCCTTCAATTTAAATATTATTTTGTTTTTTCCTTTTGGTTCCTCCCTTTAAAAAAAGGAAAATATTAGGAGATCATCTTTAAAGGGATCTCGAGTCTCTGCATTTAGAGAGTACACATTTACCCTTATTTCATAAAATCTCAAACATTCAAATCATCTAACGACTTAAAGCAAGCCAAATAAGCTAAATGTGTTTTTGCCTTTATTAATGATAACGACATTCGTTACTCCTTGTTTTCTCCTCAAAACCAACTTCATCGCCACTCTCAATCTTTTCCCTTTTTATTTTTTATGAATAATCAGAAATTCCCAACCCGATCTTGTGAAACACCAACCCATTTCAAATTACCAAGTCTGCTTCTCAACCGACTCTGTAATTTACACAAACATAAGGCCACTTCCACAATACCAATTTTATAATAATCTTCCCATATCTCAAATTGGAAGTTTTGTTATGGAATAAGGTGAGGGGATCTACCATCATTATTTAAATAATTTTTTAAAAAAATAATGAGTGAAATTAAAAATAAATAAATCGTTTATAATGAAATGAAATTGAGGATATGGAGGAGGATAGAAATATAGGGTGGTGGCCCTGGAAGCTGATGACAAGCAGTCATGAGGAGGATGAACAGGAATAGGAATTAGATAGCTTGAAATGAGGAAATCTGATAAGTGTTGGAAGATGGATGCGTAGTCCTTAATGGAGTTATAGTAATGATGAGGATTATGGATACTATAGTTTAGAGACGGAGGGATTGTTACCGTCAATTTTTAAAGAAAATTACAAATCTATCCTCTAGCTGATGTGGCTTGCTTTAAGTCGTTAGATGATTTGTATGATTGAGATTTTATGAAATACAGATAAATGCATATTCTCTAAATGCAAAGGCTCGAGATGCCAATTGGTGTACCATCTTTCTAATAGAGGTATGAACCATTGTATTGATGTGCACTACCTTTATTAGAGAGATGATACACAAATTGGTCTTTATAGATGCAGAAAAACTTATATGAAACAGGAATAACATTGTTTTGCTATCCTCGTCCAATCACAGAATGTCATGTGAAAAAGTTATCACAAGTGGTATACTGTAATTGGCCAAGATAGCGAAATAGTGATATTCCTGTTTCATATAAGTGTTTTCTCTTAAAGATGATCTCCCTAGCATGAGAAATTATAGAATATTACAATAGTATAGAGAAACACTTATATGAAACGGGTATAACACTATTTTGTTATCCTCGGCCAATTCTGGTATGCCACGCGTGATAACTTGTTTTCATGACAAACTATGATTGACAGGGAATAGCACTGTTGTTATCCCCTTTTCATACAAATTTTTTTGGATAGTATGACCACATAATACATCTTGTACACTAGTTATAATATAGGTGGACGACATGGTTTATTTTCTCATTTTTAGAAAATAATATCAATAAATATCCACTTATATTGTAATACATGTATAAGATGTAATACATAACTATACTACCGTAATATTCTATAATTACTTTCCAAACATGAAGCTTTAAAAAAACCATATACAGTAAAATTCAGTGTTTTTTTTCGCTGGGAATGTTTCTTCATGTTAAAGAGGCTTATCTGCTTAATTTTGTGTGCACAGACATGTTCCCTTAAAATTTGTATAAGCTACTATACAGACCCTGCCATGATGCCATCAAAGATTGTGTCACACATTTGTTCGACCGATCTTCCAAGAACACCCCCAATTTCTGTTATAATACCAAATATAACCCTTGTGTCGGTGTCGAAGATTTCGTAGCGACGCGTTGGACTGGAAACAGCTTTCTCCCACGCAACACTAAAAGAGAGCCAATCAGTTTTTCGATAGCAGGGAGTCTCAAAGCTCACTGTTTTCATCACACTCACCGGCTACGCCTGTCACCTAGCCGATCTTTTTTTTTAATCTAAATCGCCGATTAATTTGAGTTCCGTACTCTGACAGTTAGACCGCATATTTTACCTAATTTTCCCGGAAAATTCACTCATTTCATTTCTCTCATCCAGTATTCTCTCTTCTTCTCCGTGCTCGTGCTCGACTCTTCAGATTTTGCTCTGCAGAGAAAGAACACAGAGAGGAGAGAAAACACGGTGCGTGCTTCTCACCTGCCAGTCAATCAATGGAGTACCAAGCTTCGTCCGTGGCTCTCTCTCAGAAGCTCTCCAACGGTCACTCGATATACGACGGCGTTTTCTCTTCCCCTGCATCTAAGTTTAAAGTCTCGGCTTTCTCGTCCCGAGTCGAAGACTACACCGAGATTTTCGGCGGTTCTGGTGCTTCGCGAGGTTCGTCGATCCCAGTTCTTGAAGTTCCGGAACTCCATGAACGAAAGGCTTCAGTCGATGTTCGGAGCTCGAAGCTCGATTACTCAAATGTTTTCAGTGGCTTCGGAGATTCGGATTTCGGAGTGCCTTATGAAGAACTCTTTGCGGAGCCAAAGAAAAGGGGAACAAGGTACATTTACTCTCACTAAGTTGTATTTGAGTCTGCAAGCTCGTTTCTTCTTTTATTCAATATTTTATCCGGCATGGAAATGAGTGATTTTTTTTTACAATTAAGAGGGCTCGTTCTTTGAATTTTCATTCTTTTTTAGTATTTATGTTGCTGTCATTTAGGAATGCCTTGCATTTAAATGTGGAGGAGGATTCAACAAGAAGGTTACAGTTGAAATTGAACCATTAAGAATTTCATGCTCTATTTAGTTTAGGAGTAATTGTCCAGAAAATAGTCCAGAGCAAGAATCAAGAGCTGTTCTTTTAGATATTGCGCTGTTTAATCAACTTTATTCCCCCTCCCCGTATTGATATCGATTATTACATCCACTGGAAATAACCAACAGATCTCATCAAAAAATAAAAACAACTTTTACAGCTGCAAAAATTCACCTTTCTGGTGTGTTTCTTCCTTTATTTTAGCAGGACACCAGCTGAAAGAAGGGCCCCTTCAGAAGAGACAAATCCTTCTAGTTGCGAGGGGAATGGTGTTTTGTCTCATGAAGCATCTTATCCATCATTTGATGGTGCCAAGAAGTTCAACATGTCATACCATAAAAGCAACCATAGAAGCAAAAGTTTTACAGGTGGAACAATGCTCCGTGCTGTTCCAGCATATACATGTTTGGTTGATGAAGTCACTCCTGTACGCGTGACTGAAGCTGATAAACCAGTATCCAACAAAGAAAATGGTGCTTGCACTGACAATAGTTTAGGTGAGAGAATAATGGACGGCAACCATTCCATGAAGGCCACGAGAGACCACCTAGCTGGTGATGCTAGCAAACAGACTTCTGGGGGAGGTGCCAAGGTGCAAAACAATTATGATCAGGAAAGATCCGGTTCAAATGATGAGGTATTTAATGCATGTGAAATTGGGGAAGGACGAACTCGTCCTTCAAACAGGCCACCAATTTCAAGTTTGGTGTCTGAGGACAAGGTTAAATTTGAGAAACCAATGGCTTCTACCTTTGGGATTTCTAAAAGTGATTATTTTGAAGGTTCTGACACTGTTCATTCACCACCGTACTTCGATGAGGAAGTAGACACAAATTCTATTGCTGCTGCCTCTGCGGCTGCTTTGACAAAGGCAATACAGGAGGCTCAAGCGAGGATTAAAATGGCGAAAAATTTGAAGGAAAGAAACAAGGCTGGTCTGCAAAATCATGTCAAACTGCGGTTTAACAATGATACAAAACTTGAGGTGAGAAAGGGTGATAAATTTGTAGACAAAGCAAGCATACCCAAAGAGAGGAAGACTCAGGAGTTACATGAAGAAGTGGCTGTTCCTGTCCATGTTTCTACTGGGCCAGAACAATTAACTGCAGCATTTGAAGATGTGGATAAGATTTCTGGTGCTAAGGAAGCTGGAGAGGAAACACAGGAGAAGGAATCTAAATTAAGTCAATCAGGTCAGAGGCAGGAAGAAGCTGATGTATCAGAAGCAACAGAACAGTTTTATGAATTTGATGATGCAGCTGAACCTGATGTCTCAGAAGCAGCAGAACAGTTCTATGAATTTGCTGACACAGGTGAACCTGATTTATCAGAAGCAGTAGAACAGTTTTATGAATTCTCTGACTCAAGTGAAACCCAGGCTATGACATTAGAGCATGAAGAAGCCAACACTGCAATAAAAGTGATGCAATTTGTGGATAAAGATGAACAGGAGAAGAAGAAAACAACCATGGAAGCTTTTGAAACCCCACAACTAGGTGGTGAGAGTTCACAAGCAGCTGAAGAAGAAGAAAACAGAGAAGTAGAAAAAATATTTGATGCAGATGGAGGGCAATCTAAGTATGAAGAACATTGCACTGAATTTGCAACAACTCAAAAGGCTTTTGATCAGGAAGAAAATGAGAAGATACAGGAAGCTGCCATAGATCATGAAGAGTTAGGGAAGCTTAAAGCTTCCCATGTAATGGAAGAATATAAAGAGAAACCAGGAGAGCTTGAGAAACAAAAAGGAGACAACAAAAGGCTTGAAACTCAGGAGTTACAGGATACTAGACATGTGAAAAGGAAATTGATGGCCCAGGAGCAGGTTGAATTTGAGAAGATAGGCAAGGAGGCTTGCAAGCAGGAAGAACATGAGAGGGAACAAATAGATGTCCACGGGGAAGAAGACACTGAGAGGAGCTTCAACAAAGATAGTGGCCAAGAAATCATTAAGGAGACACCTAATGACTTTAAGGATGAGGAAGATTTTGAGAATGAGAGGAAGTCTGAAGGAAATGAGAAGGTTCAAGACACCAGAGAAAATGAGAAGATACTTGAAGGGGCTCCTTGTCAGAAGAAAGAGGATTTAAAGAACCAAGATTGCAAGTTTGAGACAATTAAGATCCTATGTGAGGAGGGTGAAAGTGAGGACCTAAACAAAAAAGAGGGGCCCATTAGTCATGTAGAATACGACAGAGAGGTAGAAGTAACTCCGAAGGTACCTGCACATGAAAATGATGGAGGTAGAATAGAAGTTACTGAAACTTTAATTGAACTCAAAGAGAATGGGAGCCAGTCAGAATTGGTTGAAGAGGATAACGGCGTGGTAGAGAAAGAGATACATGAAACAGAGGGATTGGCTCCAGGTGTCAAACTTGCTGAGATCCTAAAGCAAATGGAAGATGCAACAGAGATCCATTCTTCTGACAGAAATGGAATATCTGCAAAGAGAAATGACATGGGATTTGGTGAAAATCAAGATTACCACTTTGCCAGAGAGCCCGAAATAGTATTGAATTTAGGAAAGCATGTTGAAGAATCTGGAGATTTGGATAAGGATATGATGGAAGCTGAAGTTTCTGCGAATCATGAAAAGAACAAGATTAATTCCAAGTCTTCACATAGGAAAAGATGGTCTGATATAATAGACGTTTCTGAAACTCTGATTAAACTCAAGGAGAATGGGAACCTATCAGAGTCAGTTGAAGAGGAGAATGCCGTGGAGGAGAAAGATATATGTGAAACAGATGGCTTGGCCCTGGGTGTCAAACTTGCTGAGATACTGAAGGAAATGGAAGATTCAATAGAGACCCCTCCTTCTGATGAGAATGATATAAATATAAATAGAAATGCCATGAACTTTTGGCAAAAGCAAAATGACCAGCTTGCCGGAGAGCCTGTAGTGTTGTACAATTTAGAAGAGCATGTTGAAGAATCGGAAGAAATCAATAAAGATATGATGGAAGCGGAAGTTGCTGTGAATCAGGAAGAGAGCAAGAATAATTCCAGGTCTTCTCAGAGGAAAAGGTGGTTTGGTGATGGGAAAAATACAGAAGTAGCTCAGCTTTCTCACATGTTCAGAAGAAAAGGGGGAAATGTGCTACTGGACCATGAAATGCGGGCAAGCCTACGTACAAAGGAAAATAAGGAGAAGCATGAAAAACTGGGTACAAACCAAAGGTTAGAAGAAAATGAGGAGAATCAACAAGCAACCCTGACAAAAGAGAGTGAAACCATTGATACTTCACTGAAAGAAGTTGAACAAGAAAAAAGTGAGAATTGTCAGACAACCTTCACTGCAGAAGAGAGCGAAACCGAGCATAGTTCACAGAAAGATGTGAGAGAAGGAAAAAACGAGAATCAAGTGACCCTAACAACACAAGAGAGTGAAAACAATTACACTTCCCAGAAAGAAGTGGAACGAGAAAGAAAGGAGAATCAACAAGAAACCCTGACTGCAGAAGAGTGTGAAACTAGTGACTGTTTGCAAAAGGAAGTGGAAATAGAGAAAGAGCACCAGATACAAAAAGCAAATGCAAAAGGGAGGGAAAGGGAAAGAGTAAAGGAGAGGAAAGCTGTTGAAAGAGTAATCCGTGAAGCTCGTGAAAGGGCATTTGCTGAAGCCCGAGAAAGAGCTGCTGAAACTCGTCAAAGGGTAATGGCTGAGGCCCAAGAAAAGTTAGGGAAGACTTCTGGACAGGCTAATGATATATCCTTAGCTGAGAAGGCTTCAAAGGAAGCCAAACTGAAAGCTGAACGTGCTGCTGTGGAAAGAGCAACTGTAGAGGCTCGAGAGCGTGCCTTAGAAAAAGCATTATCCGGGAAGGCTGCCCACGAGGCAGGAAAGCAGACTAAAAGGTCTTTGTCTGAGAAATTTTCTGGTGCTTCTAGAGATGATGGACTGAAGCCTGGTGTTTCTCCCTTTGTGAGTATTTGTTCTATTATGCTGTATTCTTACCAGGTATCAAGAAGCTTGTCCTGTGGCATCACAAATTAATGGATATAAAAAATTCTTGCAGGATCCAGAGTCTAAAGGTTCATTCCCTTCAAGCACGTCAAGAAACCCAAATTCTTCAAATCACAGTGGTATGTGATATCGCACAGTGCTGTCATAGCTTTCAATTATATTCCTTGATTTCATAGTTATAGATATTTTACTACGTAATTCTCTGCAACTTCTGAAAAATTATGTTTTCCTTAATGAAGATCCTTACTCTGCTGAGAGGTCTGGTGGAACTAATGGTGAATCAGCTCAAAGGAGTAAAGCTAGGTTGGAGAGGAATCAAAGGACGGCAGAACGTGCAGTATGCTTCCTGGTCTTGCTTGGGTTTTGAATATACATTGCTGACCTGTAACGAGCTTGCTTAATGTTTTTTCCAATCTCCTTCAGGCTAAAGCTCTTGCGGAGAAGAATATGCGTGATCTTCTTGTACAGAAAGAGCAAGCAGAGAGAAATGTAACTTTTTTTGTTTATATGTAATTTTTTTGCTAACACACGAAGTGCTTTCTCACTCTTGTGAATACAATTTTATGTCAGAGATTAGCAGAAGCGCTTGATGCTGATGTCAAAAGGTGGTCAAGTGGAAAGGAGAGGAATTTGCGGGCACTGCTTTCTACACTACAATATGTATGTGCCAGCCTTTTTTCTATTCATGTTTGGTATTAATACCTCCTGCTTCTACAACTTTAGATTGTTTTGGGATATATATTAAATAGCATTTGGATTGTATGTAAAAGTCCTTTCCTCTGCGGAAATTTCGAGTTTTATATTAGCCCATCTCCTAATTTGATTATCTGGTGGAGCATGCTAGTAAAAGCATGAAGGTATCACTCTCTGCCTACTCACCACTTTAGTTTTGTCTAATTTGGAAAGTGCTATGATAACCACGTAGGGAAAACTCAAGGATGTTCAAATGATGCTATGTTATATGGTTGAATGACATTATTATTTGATTCCTCATGATGAGAAGTTGAATGTCATTGGCATTGCTTTTAGGTTCTTTTGAGTTCATCTACATTGAAGATTCAGTTGTATCATTAGCTGGTTTTAACTTGATGTTTATATAACTGGCAGATCCTCGGCCCGGATAGTGGTTGGCAGCCAATTCCCCTGACGGATGTTGTTACAGCTGTGGCTGTAAAGAAAGCTTACCGTAAAGCTGCTCTCTTTGTTCACCCAGACAAGTTACAGCAACGGGGTGCAAGCATCCAGCAGAAGTACACTTGTGAGAAGGTGTTTGATCTTCTAAAGGTGCGTTGCTGATCTTATTCTGTCCTTGAATGTGAATATGTATGAAATTTAAGGAACCATGCGTTCAAGCTGAGCGATGAGACTTGAAACTTGATTTAATACATGTAGTAAATCTTTCTCTTCTCCTTTGAAATGATATTCTTATGTTCTTTATGGTTTGTGTTGTCTTGTCTCCAGGAGGCGTGGAATAGATTCAATGTGGAAGAGCGGTAGGCTGCTGCGATCGTTTCATCTCGGAATAAATAACATTATTAGGAAACCCATTGTAGGCTGCAACTCAATCAAACAGTTGCGCTGCGCAGGGCTCTTTCGAGATTACAAGCTGCCGGCCGGTGTCAAGCTTATCTTAATTCTCAAACGAAAATAAAGATATATCCTCTTTTGGGCTTGTCTTTTCTTTTGTGGGTCAGTAAGTATTTACTTTGGGTTGAAGTCTTATACGAAGGAGAAGGAAATAAGCAAATATCTGACCAACTCTTGCAAGAACAAAATGGCATTCAGAATTGTTCCTTCCAAGTACTTAAAACTAAGCACAATGCGTTTAAGTTTGCATCCGACTGGTTCCGACCATGCCACGGAGAAAACAACAGACGAACAACAGTGTACAAACCCGAATGAACAAAACTCTGCACCTATTTAAGCTAAAAGTATCTCTAAACTTAAAACCTCCTTATATTGTTTTTTTAAAAAAATAAGGAACCTTCTTATATTGTTGTGAATACAACTGGTACACAAGGCACTTTCTGACTTCCATTACTGGGGCTCATATGCAATTAAACCCCAAGCAGATGAAGCATGATAGCATTCTGTGCATGCATGCGATTCTCAGCTTGTGGAAACACAATTGAATTTGGGGCCTCAACCACTCCGTCAGTCACTTCCACTCCTCTTTCTGCTGGTAGACAATGCATGAAATAGGCTTTTGGCCCTGCTATCTTCATAAGATTTTCATCCACCTGTAGTAACAGCACCAAATATAAGTCACATACATAATCAAAATTGGCTACAGACTGAACGAATATGATAAAAACCTATTCCATGACACATCCCCTCAGAAACATATAGGTCATGCAAAAACAATCAGTGCCATTTTATTATTATTATTATTATTATTTCTGCCAAACGTTAAGTAGAATGATGCATCACTACGCAAGTTTTTATTTGTAGATCAAACCAATCCAAACTGTGATCTCAAGACGGCCCCAAACTCAGGCCAAAGCACTGCATGTGCGAGCTCAACAACAAAGGACTCCTGATATGGTAGATTTGAACTATGTAACTTCAAGTGTCAGTGACAGACTTTCTGTTTACATCAGCTACAGATTTCACTTTCTCCTAATACAAGATAGTTTTCCCTTACTTTGGATTGAAGGATCTAACCTCAAATCTGAAGTATAGAGTTTGAATTGTTTATCAAACTTGATTCTAACCAAATTAGAATCTCTGCTATTCTTCCTCATTCTACTACTTCAAACATACAAACCCCTTTATATGGAGGCATGCATTTTCTTGCGATGATAACAGATTCATACAAAGTTCACTATGTTGGTATACAATCCATTGAAAAGGTTTTGAAAAGCAATATACCTGAAATCCTTGGAAAACTTGATGGCGATATGCAGCCTCCTCCTTTTGCCCCATGCTGGCCCACACATCTGAGTACACAACATCAGCTCCTTTGACTGCTTCCTTTGGATCATTTGTGATCTCAATCTTGCTGATGCCTGCGTGTTGCGCCTTCTCAACTGTTTTCTTATCTGGTTCAAAACCTTTGGGGCAGGCACAAACAAAGTGGAAAGGAATAACCGAAGCTATCAACAACCAAGAGTGAACAATGTTGTTTCCATCTCCAACATAGACAACCTGAATTTGTGTAGAATTTTCAATCAGAAACTATAGAATTCTAGGATAACAAATAAAACAGTATTTAGCAAGCACAACAGTGGACCGACCTTAGTTCCTTCTAACTGACCAACGTGTTCGATGATAGTGAGGACATCAGCCATAATTTGGCAGGGATGGTTGTAGTCTGTCAAGCCATTGATAACAGGTACAGTTGCATATTTAGCCAAGTCAAGGATATCCTGCAACAAACAGGCAACATAAAAGCCTCTTTTATGTACATTAATATCAAGGGGAAACATTCACAAGTTTCCATGATAAAACTTGAACACACCGACACAACATTCGCCATAAAAAATACTCTTACCTGTCCGAAACAGAACTCTAACTAATTTACGTAGTATTATAACCTTTTAACAAATTACAAACATAAAAACTCACCACAATACCTGATGAGCAAAGACACGTGCCATAATAATGTCATTATAGCGAGACAAAACACGTGCCACATCCCGAGTTTCCTCCCGCTTACCCATCTGAATATCATTAGGTCCTAAGTATATTGCATGACCTCCTAGCAAGGAAAACCCAGTCTCAAATGAAACACGTGTTCTCATAGATGGCTTTGCAAAGATCATAGCCATAGTCTTCCCCTTAAACGGGAGATATGTCCTCTCTCCTGATTTTAGAAGTGCCTTGACCTCCACAGCTCGATCTAAGATCTTTAAAATGGTAGATTTGTCAAAATCACTTATGTGCAGAAAATCCTTCAGTTCTGCTTTTGCTGGAAAATAAATAAACAGGGAAAGGGGGAGTCAGAAGACAACTGATATTACTGAGCCATATGATCATGCTATAATTTGTTTTGAAGTATCATTCTGGCACCAAGTCACCGCAGTCATCCCTCCATCTCAAATGTGGCTCTTATTAATACAAACGTGGCTACACAATCTCTCACACAATATTGGAAAATTTCTTATCAGCCACGCAGTTCCAGTTGCCTCATGTCTAATTTTCAACCAAAAACCCTAATTTCCAACCAATTTGATATTCACTCACCGGGTACACTTAAATGCCTACATTATCCAAGAACACCACCATTTCATTATCTTCGAGTATGAATAAATCCCAAATCATAATTCAATCACTGTACTATTGCTATTTGTATCACATTTTTACAAATTTGTTTCAACACAGTGTCTAAACCCTTAATTTAAGTGTATCAAGCGAAAGCACAGCGACTATCTTTTACTTAAGCTAGTAAACAGTCAGATTAAGAACCAGAGACGAGCATTGACCTGTTCCATTGTCTAGGGACGAAGGTGGAGAAGTAGCAGAGGAGGTCTGGCACGAAATTTTTGGGAGTGTCGCCGGAGAAGATACGGAAATGCTGGTGAACTTGCCGGAAAATTGAGGCGATCGCCGGAGATTCTGGCCAGAGAAAGAAGAAAACGGAGAGGAAAGAGAGAGTTTGTCTGATCGGACCAAAAGGTGAGAAGAAATCGCCGCCATTTGCTTTTGGTGGGAACAATCGAGCTCAGCGTATGTGCTTTTTTTCAATATCAGGGATTTTTCTTATAACCACGACGGCAAGAGACCCAAAACAACCACGGGGCTTTATACCAAAATATTTTTTCAACTGAAATTACATATACACCCTCCAAACAAACAAAATTGCCACCGTAACCAGCACCAACAACATGATATTATCATAGCATTTCCATCTATTTGTCATGGCAACAGGCAAGAGGAGACAAGGGTTGTTATTATTCATATAAATAGTGTCTGCCCTAAGCAATTTTGTTTGTTTGTTTTCCACCCATTGTCATGGCAACTCAAAGGCAACCATTATTCACATGAGATATGAGGAGAAGAATTTGGATAAAGTTTGGGTGTAGAAAGTAAAGAATATAGTTATGTATTTATAAATAATAAAAAATCTGAAATTTTTGGTATTTTTTCAAAAAAATTTATTTAACAAAAAAATTCGTTGTTAACGTCACAGCCCTCAGACAACAGTTCGGGCTGTTTTTGCCTCGTGGAACCCACACCTTGCATGTGCTGTTTTGTACCACTAGAAACGGCTTGAAGGGCTTAGGCCCCTTCTTGCTCGGGTGGGGGGTGCAATGAAAATGCTCTCATGCCACATCCTATGTGACTAACAAAGTATTTAAGAGCAATGATTTTGCAATCTAAAATCACCTCTAAATTACCTTACCTTGTGCACTGCTTGCTTATTTGTTAATTGAAAATCAACAAAACTTAATTGACTTATGAATCTAATCACTCAGACAACATATGATCCCCTTATAATTTATAGCTTAATTTTTCATTCCTCCTCATCCCAAAAGAAAGGATAGTCTCATAATTATAGTGTCGTTTTGCAAAATTATGAGACTCGTTTGGTTCGTGGATTGAATTTCTTGGGAATAAATTTCCTATGTCTAATCCCACAGGATGATAATGAATATTCATTCCCATATTTGGGAACGCTTGGAAATGAGGACTAGAAAATATCATTTTTCTCTCATTACCATGTTAGGTTAGTACAATATTAGAAATGAAAAGTAGTTCAGTTTTTCCAACAATACTTTTGTTTTATTATTATTAAGTTATTAATATGAAGAGTTTTGTAATTGTCAAAAATGGTATTTAAAAATAATAACATGGGTGAGTTAGTCCAAAAAATTGCATTAAATGTCTTCCTAAGTGGGGGGAAAAAGTTTCCCAAAGTGAGCCAAAATTCCCTATATATGGGTAGTTCATGGTCCATGAGTTCAGAATTGCATTCCTAAGAGTGCACTAACCAAACATAGAAATGCAATTTGAAATCTATTCTCAAGCTCCTAAACATTGAATCAAACGGGCACTAAATTTAGAGATTGATATAGGGCTATGCATCTAAAGAATACCGAAAACATACACTAACCATATCGTACAAAACTGGTTTCATATCGTTTCAATTGGGATGAGGAGATATTAGATACGATGTTGTAGCGTATCAAGGGAGTATGGTACGGTAGCGGTACCAGGTATTTGGTACCGATTAGTACTATACCGTACCGAAGTTGTATAATTTTTTCATTCTCTCGCCTCAAACGCCAAACATCAATCTCTCAGAAACAAAAACGCTCTCTCACTCTTAGACTCTCAGCCCGTTCAAACTCTCTTCCATACCCAGCTCTCTGTCTCTGTCTCTCAATCTCACTCGATTCAAGCTCTCTTTAAGCCAAATCCTTCTCTTCTCATCTCATCTCTATCTCTCACTCGATTCAAGCTCTCTCTGTCTCTCACTCTCTTGAACTCGATCTCTGTCTCACTTTCACTCTCTGGATTTCTCTATCTCACTTTCTTAATCTTTCGATTTCTCCATCTTTCTAATCTGTCTCAGGCTCCTAGCCCTAGTTCCAACCTAGCCCTCTCTCAGCTCTCTAGAATAACGAGCAGCCCCAAATTGACGAAGGGACAAATGGTAAGTTTGTTGTGATTTTTGTTAATTTGTTTAGGGTTAATTAAATACGAATGAAGTTGAGGGAATTCCTTGTCTAGAAAGTTGATAGTATGCTAGGAATGTTGATATAGTTAGAGGGTCATTCATATTAAGTACTTGAAATTATGAAATTATATCCCTATTTCTGAAATTATGTATAAAATTAAACATAACCAATTTCAACTAAATTTCTTTATTAGATGTCAACAATTCTAACTGAGGCATAATAAGATCTACACACACAAAACACAAGCATTAGTTTCCTCTCTGTCAACTTCTTTTTTGGATTGTGCATAGATCACCATCATCAAAACCAAATTTGTTTCAAAGATAACCAACTATATCAAACCTGCAGCATATTGAATTTTTTGGCAAACATGAAAATGGGGCATAACAAGAGTTCTTTCTGTTTTTCCTTCCCCCCTCCCCGCATTTCCCCCTTAGGTTTCATAATAAAAAGAAGACAATTTTAGAACTAAAAACCATTAAAACTTGACTCAGCTTTGTTATTGGGTATGGAGCTACATTGCAAGAAAATTCTCCTTCACATACAAAATATGCATTTATTTTTGTTAATTACATCATGAATTGGTGCCTGATGTTTTTATTGATTGATGCTCTATTTTTATCCGTCCCAATGGCTACCTGAGCTAAATTGGTTGCTGCTCTATTTTTATTTTTATAAATTGGTGCTTGATGTTTTTATTTATTTTTATAAATTGTTGTGGTATATGCTGGTGAAGCATAAACTTTATCTTGGGGTTTATTATGATTTTTGTTAATTTATGGTTTAGGGTTAATTGTTGTCTTCATTTGGTTTGAGAATGAGAGATTGACAAAGTTATGTTGGGGTTTATTCTTGTCATGCAGTCTTTATCAAGGAAGCATCAGGGGGACTGTGGGCTTGCGTTTTCTTCAACGACAACATCACCAGTACTACCACAATGTGACGTACAGCCGGAAGCCTAACCTTCTGAAGCTCTTGTGCCCAAGCCAATGCAAGCCCAAGCTGTTGAGAGTAAAGATACAAAAATGGTTAGTGAACTGAACTCAGATAGCAAAGGTAGAGATAATAAGAGAAGTTGAGTTTGGGATCATTTTACACCCTATGATGATTTTAAAAAAAACTGTCAAATGAAAGGATGAGGCCACAAAGAAGATGGTAGATGTAGAAGTTGTGAATAAAAGAGCTAGATATTGTCCTAAATCTAAAGTTGGTCTTGGAGATTATGCATGTGATAGTGGGAAAAATGAGACTTCGGGAATGATAAGCCACATTAGAAAATACTACAAATACTACCCACCTAACCAAGATAAAACATAAAAGATCATTATTGGTGATAAGGGTCAGAGTAACAAATTGGTTGCTAGGGGGTTTGTGCAGAGTGATGTTATGGATGCATGTGTTGAAATGATTGTGATTGATGAGCTATCATTTTCTTTTGTAGAAAAAGAAAGGTTTTAGGAGGTTTTGTAGTGTTGTTTGCCCAATGTTTGAAGTGCTTAGTAGGAGAAAAACAGTGAGGCGGTTTCTTAAAATGTATGATGCACAAAAAGAAGAGCTGAAGAAAGATTTGAGTGGACATAGGATCAATCTCACGACTGACACTTGGACAAGTGTTCAAAACACCAATTACATGGTGCTCACTGCACACTTTATATATTGTGATTGGAAGATGCATAAAAGGGTTTTAAACTTTTGTGTTATTCCTAATCACCAAGGCAACACCATATGAGACCTCATTGAGAGTTGTTTGTTACAGTGGAGTATATAGAAGGTTTTAACCATCACTGTGGACAATGCCTCTGCAAATAAAGTGGCAATTGATTGGGTGAGATATAAAATGAACAAATGGAAGAATTCACAAGCTATTTTTGGTAGGAAGTACTTAAATATGAGATGTTGTGCTCACATTACTAATTTAATTATGTCTAGTGGGTTAAGGAAGCTGCAAAAATCTATTTTGGCAATTAGGAATGCTGTGAGGTATGTCCAGTCATCTCCACAGAGATTGGATTATTTTAAAACCTCTATTGAGAAGGAGAAATTGACCTGCAAAGGTCTTGCATGCATGGATGTCCCCACAAGATGGAATTCAACATACATGATGTTGGATGCAGCCTTGAAATTGAAAAAGGCTTTTACTAGAATGGCAAATGATTTGAACAGCCCATTCATGGCTTATTTCAAATAGCCAAATAAGCTAGTTGATGAGGATGGTGTAGTTCAGACTAATAATAGGCAATGTCAGGTTGGATCACTAACTGACGCTGATTGGGACAATGCAATAATGTTTGTGAGGTTTTTGAAGGTGTTTTATGAGGTGACCTTAAAGGTAAGTGCATCTTTGCGCCCCACAATTCATAAAACATTTCACGCAGTTATTGACATGGAAAAGAAGATTGACAAGTTATTTGTGGCACATGAATTTGTCATTGGTTTAGATGCAGAGAAAGTGTTGATTGATATGGCTGGAGTTGTGAGAACAAAATACAATAAGTATTTTGTCAAATATCAGGATTTGAACATGTTGGTGTTGATTGCACTTATTTTGGATCCAAGGTTCAAGTTGAGGCATATCACCCATCGCTTTAAAAAGGAAAAATTTGATGAGGATGATGTGCAAATAAAGACAAGAGAAGTGAAAGGTGTGTTAATGGCCCTCTATGATGATTTTGTACCAAAGGTAGATGGTGGAATTCACATGAGACAGAATTCTACCACATAAAATGTAGGATCTACAAATGGTAGTAATAATATGGTTGAAGAAAGTGTTGCTAGTGATTATTTTTTAGATGATTGGATTAGGGAGGTGGAAGAAAGTGATAAGGTTGTGATGTCACATGAAGTTGATTCTTACTTTACAAATCCTTTCGCTTTTGTTTCCAAAAATTCATTTTTTGACATATTGATATGGTGGAAACTCAATGGGCCCAAGTATCATGTCTTAGCAGCAATTGCGAAGGATGGCCTTTCAATTCTAACTTTTACAGTGGCATGTGAGAGTTGTTTTAGTACTAGTGGCAAAGTCATAAATGCATTTAGGAGTTCATTAACTCCTAGATCAGTTGAGGCTTTGATATGCATGCAAAATTGGTTGAGAGGGGATAAAATTTCAAGCTTGGAAATACACCTTCAATTGAAGAATTTGAATTTTATGAAACCATTGAATATGGTAAATTATTTTAAATACTGTTTATAATTTGTATTAGTTTGCATTGAATTCTTTCTAATAGTTGTTTGGGTAATTTGCAGAATATGCAAATGATGGGGGCTACTTGAATTCAAATTGTGGGCTGCAAATGAAGCTCGGATTGTGTTTGTAACTTTGTAAGCCATAAGGCATAATTTTAACCATTTTGGTTTGTAAGCCATAAGGCATGAGTTTTAACCATTTTGATTTGATGAATCAGTTCAATCTGTGTTGATGGATATTGATTTGATTGATTTGGATTTGGTTGATTTGGATATTGAATCTGTTAAACTTGATGGATATTGATTTGATTGATTTAGATATTGAATATGTTGAATCTATTATAAGGCATCACTTATTTGGTGAACGAATCTGTTGAATATTGAATTGGTTGATTTTTGAGTTGTGTAATTTTGGTATCGAAATGGTATTGTTTCACACTGATACCGATTTGATACGGTATGGTACGGTATCAACTTTGACAAACAATAATCCTATACCGTACCATACTTGTTCTAATTTCTGATATCGGTAACTATACGAGCTTAATACCGTACCATAATGTACTATGTCTAGCCCTAGGTTGACGGGATCCCATTAGAACAAAATGAAAATAACTATCAATAGTAAATCTAAATTTTCGTATGAATGCTTTGTGTTTCGGAAGTACAGAGCCGGAGGAGGGGGCAGTATTTATAGCAATTTTACTTTTGCCCCGGGTGTATATAGCAATAGACGTTCGTTTGGCTCGTACATTTACACAAAGTACCTTTGGTCCCACAAATCAAATCAAATCATACACAAATTTGGTTACCCAAAAAGCAAGGCAAACATTTCACACTCGTTCAACCAAGCAACTGAATACAAAATATCCTCAATATCATTTCATTCTGGATAATGAGTAGCATACTTTTTAATTAATATATAGCCAGATTGGATCATAGTTAATTGCAGATTAACTTTTCTGCATAGCCACATTCTCATACACAACCCCAGTAGAATTTTATTTGAAGCCTTTTAACAGCAGACATCAAGTCCAACCAGAAAAAAGGTCACCAACCCTAAAAACGCCACCAACAAAAAAAGAACCCAACAGACACTAGTCCATGACACAAAATGTAAACCTCAACTATGGATCAATATTTTTTCCTTAACCGGAGACTTTGACATCGACGACGGTGTTGTCGTCAGCCTCATGTTTCTCAGCACGAAGTGGGATCAAACCCTTTGCTCTGCAGGTATCAACAGCCCCTATGAACATGCTCTCCAAGCTGTACTTGAACTCAAACCCTTGGTCCGTCAACTTCTTTGAAGAAAAATGGATGTTCGTCAAGTTCTCCTCAATGTTATCGAACCTGCACGTGCAAACCAATTGGTCCAACTCTCAATTTAGTTAAATTCAATTATATATTTAATTAAAAATAATTAAATCAATTGATGTTGAAGGGTTTAGTTAATTACTTTGTGGGAATATTGTACTCGGGGTATTTTTCTCTCAGCAATTTTGCAATGTCGTAAATTGTAGCATCATGGGAAGAACAAATGTAGCGGCCCTCTGCTTTAGGGTGCTCGTACAAGTATATGTGAGAGAGGCAGAGGTCGTCCAAGTGAACGAACTGCCCCCGCTTTATAATCGAATAATGAGATGTATTTCCTGTAATAATTCAGCAATATTTGATTAGTTCTGAACACTGATAATTAAAAAAATTGCAATATATATATATATATATATATTATTTTGGGTACCAGTGAGTGGGGAAAGTCCGGTGATGAGGCTTGGTGGCATGGATGGCATGAGAAATGGGCCAATCACAAGAGTTGGGATAATGGTAATGAAATCAATGTTGTTTTCTTTGGCAAACTTCCATGCAGCTTGCTCAGCTAGAGTCTTGGAGACGAAGTACATCTGAGGAGAAGACCACATTACATCAAATCCAGAATTAACAATTTGATTAACATGTTTTTGAAGTTAAACAGAGTATATGGATGTAATTATATTCACGTGTTTAATTGCTTACCCAACCAGTCATTTTGACAGAGCGGCAAAATTCAACATCGCTCCAGTTGGTTTCGTCGTAGAATGACTTCTGGTGCTCTTCGATATTCACGGTTCCTGCTGAGGATGTAAACACCAGCCTTCGAACTGTTTTTGCCTTGAGGCATGCCTTGAGGATGTCTAGCACCCCATTTATTGTTGGCTTGATCACTTCGTTCTGCCAAACCACAACATGTTTTAACTTCGTTCAATTTTCTCTTCATTTTAGTACACGGTAAAAAGCCCATAACAAACAAACAAAATCTACTGGTGCTCTGCTCAACCAAAGCACCAAACTTGTCCTAATGGATTTTCTAATCGGCATTCTTGTTTGGGAAAATGACCCATATTGTTTTTTTAAGTGTATGATGTCCTCTTTCAAACAATGGGGTACCATTACTCTGACTTGTTCTTCTGTCCGAAACACGTGAAAGAAAAATGCTAAGAAAAGACTTGGTCTGCTGCCTAATTGCATTATTTAATTGAAATTATGATGAGACATAAGAAATAAGGCTAATGTAAATATAATGGTAAGGCTAATGCATACCTCGGGGTCTTTGGACTCAAAATCCATAGGAGTGGCGACATGGAACACTCCGGTGCAGCCTTGAATGGCTTCATCAAAGCTTCCCTCGTCGGCCAGGTCAGCCTTCCACAGCGTCAAGTGCGTCTCGGCCTTTGGCAAGTCCAGCAGATGCTTCACCTTCTTCTGATTCGCTGTTACAAAAAAATATTAACCACGAATCATTGAGTCGAAAGTAATATTAATAAAATAAACTGAAGAAATAATAACTTGTGGGGAAAGGAAGACGGACCAGGATCCCTCACGGTGGCTCGAACAGTGTAACCGCGCTCTAAGAGTCTCATGATGAGCCATGAGCCGATGAAACCGGAAGCGCCCGTCACACAAACAGATTCAGACTCCGGTCCCATATTTGAATCAAAACAAGTATGTACTGCTTGCTTGTTCAATTTATATATGACAAAAGGAACAAAAGTGGATGCTCAACATCCCAAACGTTTACCTTATAAATACTGACTACTGGGGGGACTGACGAGTTGGAGTTTCCTACGACCCCAGCTAACAATTCGCAGCCTAACACCCCCTCACACCCGCTTTTTCTGTTTCAGCTCACAGCTTCCGGGCGTCACGTGGTTTCCTGGTAGGTGCGCGTGCGTGGTAGTTGATTCATTTCTCGTTTTGTTTTAGCTAATCACCTCTAGTGCCGGCCGTGGAATGGTGAAAGTGGCCCATGAAATCTTTTTACTTAATATTATCTATTAATATTATAAAAGCGTATTTGGTGGCACATCACTCGGTACAAGGCCAAGTTCGAGTCTTAGTGATGTCATTCTATATATATTTTTCTTCTTTTTTCATTATAAAATTTAGAATAGTTTTTAAAATATATATATAAGCACGTGAAAAGAAAAATATATATAAAAAAAAAAAGGGGAAAGATCCACCCAAACTAACAACATTATATATCACACCCGTGAGCTTTCTCCTTTAAAAAAAAAAAGTACTTTCTTCCACTCAAAACAAAACCAAAACAGAAATTCATGTCATTCTTCTTTCTCTTGAACTCTTATTTTTCACCGTACATAATAATATTTAACTTTATCATATGAAAATATTAAAAAATTTATGAATCTGATTTGTGATTGTTATTACATGCTAATTAATGAATTTTAGTTATAAAAAAATTTATTTTATGATATTAAGTTATGGCAAATTTGTTTTTTAGTATTTTCATATTAGACTATGTGAGGGCTTTAGTTTAAATTTCGCACATGACCCTCAAAATCTCATGACCGGCCTTGCTCAACTCTCCTCCCTCTCACACTCTCACTGGTATTCGATTGACTCACATTTTATGTGAACTAAACAAGGATTAACATTCCTTTATTTTTAAATCACTTATATGCATAAAAATAAAAGTACACCTAGATTTATATGTTACCAAAATCAAGAAACATAAGAGCAAGTGCAGCGCAACCCCTCAGCCATTGCAATAGGCCCCCTAGGCCCATTTGGACCTCCAGCGTGCAAAAGGCAGCATGGGCAAGGAATGAGACCCACCAGCCCGAGCAAGCCCACGAGCAATTCTGGATTGGGTTGTTGCCCAAAGGTTGCTGATGTTAGAGTAACGTCATGCTGACGTTAGCAGCTGTTTTTCAAATTTTTTGTTGTTGTTTGTGCGTGAATGCAACGACTGTCCAATTTTGTTGTTTCAAATCTTGCCCAATCCAACAGCTATCCAATTTTTGGCTAAAAAAAAATCAAAAAAATCTGGAAATTTTTTCTATAAATACCTATCAATATTATTCACTTTCCACACCAAATCTTCATACAAATTCTCCTTCCAATATTTTTCACTTTCCACACCAAATTTTCTACTACAAAATTTCATTTGTGCAAAAATACAAATGGCCTCTTCCATCGAAGCCTGAGGGCCGTGGACAAACATTCGAAGAGGTCAAAATCTTGGCAACGAGGTAAAAAAAAAGTCGTTTTATTCAATTTAATGTCTTTATATATATATATATATATTTCTTGCATTTCCAATTTCATTTTTTTAAATAGATTATTTAAGGCAAAACAAAAAAGAGGAAAACCATTACACATGGCTCCTCAAGTGAACAATACCCGCAGTCAATTCCAGTGGTGCGTTCCGTGTCGGAAATAATGACACTATTACGTCCTCCAAAGGAAAATACTTCCCAATGTCGTGATCCAGTGGAACTGCATCCGCCAATAATTGAGTCGTCCTTGTACTTGATTGTGTCAGACTATAAGGACCGGGAGTATTTCATGTACCAATTATGCCCTTATGATTTAAATCGAGAAAGACTGATTTATATTATAATAATTAGCTAATTAATACAACTATTGATTTTGATTGCAATTCATAAACAAGTAAGAATTTAATTTTAGGCCAATAATTACTATATTTGACCTTTTAGTTAATTTTGATTTGAATTTATAAAATATTTTCTTGTCTATCCATTTTAATTTTGAAAATCCCATAAACATGCGCTAATACAAAAAATAAAAAAATAAATTTCCTATAATCTTTCTTCTTCATCTTGTTCATCTTCTTCTTTCTTCTTCCTTCTTTTTCTTCTTACAATCCTATGGAGGAGGTATAATTATCTATGGACTAGGAATATACATGAATATTAATTAGGTATGGATAGGTAAATTACCTATGGAGGAGGTATACATATGAATGCTATTTATCTATGGAGGAGGTATAGATATGAATGTTAATTACCTATAAAGGCAATATATGATATGAAATTACCTACAAATGAGGTATACATAAACCTACAATGCAGGTAAATCAAACCACCCAAAGACATATATACTTCACCATAAGGTATTCACTGGTTGAAAGGGTTTGATAAATTGAGATTAATTGTAGAAATGTGATATTAATTTATTGATTGCAGTAATTAATAAAATTTAGAGAATTGACTGTATAATGGCAATATGTGTAAATGTGTTAAAAACAGTGGCCAAGGCTTTGCATACTTGGCTAGCCTATTGAGTCGCTAGACTCAATTCTATGTCAAAAGAGAGGTGAACTGCATTCATAGTGCAAACTCAAAATTGAACCTATATCGAAAGACCCTCGGTTATAAAACGTAACGGGCGTATAAATGACAACTTTTTTTAAAGTGTCAATAATACATTTATACTAAATTATTAATTTGGCGCTAGATTTGAATTGAGTTATAAATTTTGCTGTATGTAATTGTATCTCCAAAAACGTGTCGTGTCGTGTGGTGACCAGAGCCGGCCTTGATCCAGGGCGACCAGGGCCACAGCCTGGAATGGGCCACAATTTTTTCTTAGTCCATGTATATATATGTATATATCTCTCTCTGAAAAAAGGCAAAAAAAAAAAAAGAAAAAAAAAAAAGAAGAAACTAAATAGACGCTCAACATTAAGTCATACGTTGGAAACCAAAACCAATTATCCTCCTTTCCAATAAAAAGTCAAGTGAACAGAATAATAATTTAAGAATTGATAACCTGTTGGGCAAAACCAAAGTGATTAATTCATCAATCTGTGGGTTTTAACCAGCAGTCAAAGCCAAAGTAAAAAAATACTTTTAAAAAGGAACTGGTATGTATTCTATCTTTTCTTTGGTCGAAATGGTATTTTCTTATATGGGTCTTGGCCATCTTGAAGAGAGCATAATTGAATGAAGAGGTATCAAAAATTTCGTTTGTTTTTTTTCCTCATTCTTTTCCTTTTGAGTTGGTTTGGTTTGTTTTTGACTCAGCAATTTTATTCACTCACTATCTTCTTCATATTAATCAATTAACCACCATATTCTGTCAATATGTTTGTTAGCTTTCCTAACTTTTTTATATTTTAAGTTGATTTTATTTTATCTTTATTTTATACGAGCATTGAATGTTTAGAGGAATGTTTAGTTTAGTTTTATGTGATTATATTTGAAGGGAAAAAAATGCTTAAAACCCAGATGTTATATTATTCTCTGTTTATTAGTTAAATTATTAGAGTTGAACATTTCATGCTTGAGTGTGATTGATCATATTTTTAGTTTCTTTATTGCTATTGCCTCTAACTTGTTTAGATTTTTATTGTCATTTGTTCTGCTTAATATAAAATTTAAACTCTGGAAATCTTAAAAAGACAGTCTAAAAAAGATCTTTAGAAAAATATTTTCTTAAAAAAATCAATGCTTAGTTTATTATTTTAAAAAACCGTACAGTTTCAGTTATTAATGCGTGTAGGGCACACTTTAAATTTTTGCCCTCGGCCTTTGAGAGCTCAGGACCGGCTCCGGTGGTGACGGGGAGTGTTTGTTGTGGTCCATATTATTTTTTGGTCAGTGGAAGTACACCCGAACCAATCAGTCTCATAGTCATACTCATTATCTCTCCTATCCTACCACCCCAGAGAGTGCTTGTTGTGGACAATATTCTTTTTTGGTCGGTGGTAGTACACCCGAACCAATCAATCTCATAGTCACTCATTATCTCTCCTATCCTACCAAAGTCAAGGCCATCTGTTCAACAACCAGTTTGGGCACTTTTCCCCTAACATGCCAAGCCAAAGCAGATAAATAGTAATCAATTATGATATTACTGACTGATGGTTGTGGTTGTGGTTGTGGAGGAAAGGATAAAATAAAGAATAAGATGATTATTTACTCCTAAAATTGAAAATTATGTGGCCCATGGCCCATGAGCTTGGTCGTTGGGCTTGGACTGTGCACTCAATAGCTGAAAGTGGGGTGACTTCCGATTTGTGCAGTGTGATTTTGAAGTTTGACAAGAAAAATTCCTGCGAAAGTCTATATTATAGTGGGTTTTAAATTTGTGTAAACTAAAACATATAAATTCACAAGAGGTTTGTAAATTAAGTAATCCTGGACCCAAGGTCATGAGTTCGACTCTTCTATCACCCAATATTACATGTATTAAAGGGAAAACCAAAACAGGAGGGTTTATTGTTTTGTTTGTGATTTAGATGGCTGGGCCCAAACAAAGCTAAACTAATAAAACAAAACTGGGCCTAGCAAGGCGCATAAGTTTTCTCTAGAGGGCTGACTCTCAGTCCATAGAGTTAGAATTGGCCCAAAAATTGTGTCCAGTGGACAATCAATAGCCATAGCAAAAGAAGCTTTTTTTCTTTTAAAAAAAATTTAGGTCTAACATCAAAAGACCCCTTTTAGGTTTAGTGTCATTCTCAATATGGATCTCGGGGTATCAATTTCATCAATTTACACCATAATATTTTCAAACTTGTCCAATTTTATCCTTCCTTTAAATTGACCATGTGATCAATCGTTAACTGCTGATGTGGTTATTGTGGAACCCAAAAATTTAAGTGTTTTTGACTTAAAAAATCATTTCAAATATTAGAAATTAATTTTACAAGATAACCAAA